GGGGTAAAGGAGGAAGAGGCCAGCCAGGTAGGTGTTACAGGTACAGAGCATCCAGAGTCAAAGCATCATCAGAGTCACTCAGATCGCATCAATGTCAATGTCGTCCTCTTCTTTTTCAGGAGTGTCCGGTTTCACAGTCTCAACTTTGAGCTCGCGGGCAGAGGGTGAGTACACCACCTGAGGACAAAGAGCAGGGTTTAATGTTCACAACAGACTACAAGTAGACCACCTGAGGACAAAGAGCAGGGTTTAACGGTCACATAATTTAGATTTAAAGCAGGATAAAACACCAGGGATATCCGTTTGTCCGTTACCTCCACGTTCTCGTCCTCTTCCTCCACCTCGTCGTCCTCCTCACTGCCTCCGCTCTCCTCCTCGGCCTCCTTCAGCCACTTCACGAACGGAGCCGCCTTAGCGTGGATCTCTTTGGCGAGCTCCTTAGAGACGTACTTCTTAGAAACCTGGAGAACATCATCAAAAACAATGAGAATTAATTCATGATAATCTAAACTAATCCACATTATAGACTATTTAATCTGCTGCCTTCTATCAACAGCTCTACTACATTAAATTATAACACAAGGAGAGTTTTTAAATTTAAGTCTCATTTCAAATTGGATTCATAGAAAATGTCAAAGCACAGAGGAGAAGGTGTCGGGACTGATTCACAGATTATATTTTAAGATTGTTTCGATATTTTCTCCCCGCACGTTCGATACAAATATGGATTTCATATTAAAATATGTCGGACTGATGTAATAAAAGTGCTCATGTGCATGTTTAAGTAACATAAGTGTAAAAACAGATCATCACTTAATTCTAATGTAAGACTAAAGACAATATTTAACTGATATTTATGTTGCTTTTTAAAGCTTACAACAGTACATGTTGATCTTTATTATTACTGCTACATATTTAATTAAGTTTTTATGATTTCTGGCCAAATAATCTCTATGCTCAGCATTTCATCCTTTATTTTTCTTTGACTATTGTGTCCATATAATATTTGATGAATGTGAGATATCTGACCCACCTTCTCTGCCCAGGCGAATATGACGTCTTCATCCAGCAGGTCTGCGTCGTAGAACTCTTTGAGGATGATGGGAACTCGAGCCAGCAGCTGGACCTGATGCAGCTTCACCACACACTCAAAGCCTCCCAACAGATACTTCTGGGCCTTCTTGTTGTTGTGGCAGAACTGAGGACAAAAGAAAGAACAATCGGTCAAAAGACGAACGAGATTTAAAGTTGACTAATGTTCGGTTTTAATGATTCAACTGACCCGCAGGAAGTGGCGTTTGTACTTCTTGACCTGGTCTCGGATGTTCTCGTTGAAGAGCAGCTCACTGAGGATGAGGGGGCCCATGGCCTTCACATCCAGACGCTCCGCCTCCGCCAAGATCTCCTTATCGGCTCCGTCGATGGTCCCGCTCTCGTTCTTGTGCTGCAGATGGAAACAGTAGAGTTAAAGGAGTGGACACCAGATTGAAAAGGGTTCCGGTCATGTCTCCATCATTAGGAAGGAAGCAAAAGAAGAGCCGTCTTACTTTCACAAAGTTGTAGAACAGGTTGACCCTCTCCTCCAGAGGTTTCTCCAGGTCCTCGCTGAGCGTGAGGTTCTTGGCGTGGGCGCTGATCTCCTCCATTCGCCTCCTCTGCGCCTCCTCCGTAGTCTCCTCCGCCCAGTCCTCATCATCGTCATCTCCGTCCTGACGACACGAGAGGCCAGACAAAATGATTTAGTGCTTTAGACGTTAGTGTAGACGACGCCTCAGACTCAAACAATCCTTGTTTTTCAAAGCTTTGGTCAAGTTACAACCGTTCACATTTAAAATGTTTAAAACAAGCAGCTGTACTAGAACCTATAAAATATGATGATTGATCAAAAGAATAAGTAGAGATAGGGCTGTACCTGAATCTGGCTCATTTATTTTTTAATAAATCAGATAAAGATACAACTATTTGTTCCGTTAGTTGATGAAACTTAATCCCCACGCAGACTAAATAAGGATAAAAGCCGCACTGGACTGTGTGATAGGACATATCTTTGTTTAGACAGTAAACACAGTCAGCTGCTCAGGAGGCCGTTGACCTCAGCGACCGCAAACAGTTTCTTAAAGTTCTAACAGAAAGTAGATAACAGCTGTGTGTCTGCTGCTGATAAGCTGCTCATAAACCCTCCCACCGGCGGGCAGACACACGAAACCCACCGGCGAGCAGACACACGAAACCCACCGGCGGGCAGACACACGAAACCCACCGGCGGGCAGACACACGAAACCCACCGGCGGGCAGACACACGAAACCCACCACAGCTTTGGGAGCATCAAAGTTCTCTTGGCTTCCAGCCTCTCCGGAGCCGTTCTCCTTGTCCTTCTTGCGGTTCTTCTTCTCCTTCTCTTTCTTTACAGATGCGGATCCACCTTCGGTGCTCTCTGTTATTGGAGAAGCAAAATTGTTATTATCAAAAAGTCTCATCATGTTCAACTCTGCTGGTAACCAGAAGTAAAGAGAGAAACCTCACCGGGTGGGTTTTTGAGGATGAACGTGCAGAGTTTGTGTCTGGTGTCGAGCATGCCGCGGTATCCACAGGCCTTACAGGAATTGCCAATGGTTTGTTTCTTGGGATTGATATGCTGCAAGAAAGACAAATAAAATCATATTAGATCTTTAAATACAATAGTTTTAAAGCTACACAGTTGAGTCTCGCGGTGGAATATTTACCAGATCAGTTTCAGGGTTGTCGCACTCGGGACACAGCACAAATTTCCTGACGAACCCATCAAGCATGTCCTGCAGCTTGTTCGCCTCGTGGGATCCATTGACGATGTAACGGTCGTTTTTGCTATCAAACTGGGTCTGAGCGCCGAGTTCACAACCAAAAAACTTGGTCGGGTCTGTGGAGAAGACGTGATGTCAGAGGTCACAACGTTCTAAAGAAAGTTTGTTTTTAAAGTACGGAATAATTGTGTATTTTTATTTATTATTGTAACTTTAAAAAAAAAAATATATTAACATGAGTGGATACATGAAAAGGGCAGTTTAATTTCAAGGTTTGTATAAGGATTTTATTAATTTAACTTTCTTATTGATTAATTTATTTTGGGCATTTCCTGTTCATTACCCACTTCAGTATCGACTCCGCTAACTTTACTGTATTCATTTTTTAATCCCAAGATTAAAAAGATAAATCTTACATTTCTAAACATTAACCTTTTATGAACATCCTGCCTCTATAAAGGCCGAAACATGTAAATTTAGTGAGAGAGAGACTAGAAGTAGAACTTAGCCTCGTTAGTTTGTTACGGGGAACTTGTTCAGTTCGATTAAAGTTATTTAAACTAATGCCCACACCTCGTTTGGTTAAAAAAGTAAATTCAGAAGTGATAAAAAGAATTGAGAAATAGAAGTCAAGCTCCAAAACAAACGCAGCAGGAAAAGGAGTTAAATGGCAGCTTTAAATTTCTAAATAGATTCTGGCGTTTGGTTTACTCTCTGGGTACAAATGGACTCTTCCTTGTTTTAACACCAGGAACAAGGAACAGAAGACGTGGTGTGTTACCACGTACATGTTGGAGGCCTGTTCAGCGCCTTTGCAACATCAACCATGTTGACAATGACCGTCTTGATTCCATTCCCTTTGCCTTCAACCTGGATCAGAAACAGACACCATCAACAACCAGAATAATGAGAAAACATTCCTTCTACAAGAACTTCATAAAAGTCATCTCAGGCCACTCCACGTTGGATTTGAGTCCACACAATGAAGACCATATTCTCTCCATTTCTGTAATAACTTTAATTATTTATAACTCAACATGTACAAACCTACCTTGGCAATCAGACGGGGCATCTTGTAGCGATAGAACTGGTCCAACACGCTGCGGTTGACGTTGACAGACATTTTGGCTGGGTGTCAGCACTATCAGTAAGATAAAAGGATCTTGGTTGGGGATTTTTCGGGATCTTCTGTCTGGAAAAGAGGGGATGACATAAACGACTGCAAGCGCGCTCTGTCTCTGACATGAAAAACGCTGTGCCGCTGTGGCCGCAGGCTCCTTGCTTGAAGGCTAGATTTCCACCACACAGGTTCCAACGGCTGCGCAACAGCTCTGAAAGAAGAGAGCGACAAAAATCAATGAATATTTAATAAACTAAATAAATAACTTCATATGCGTCTTGTAGACATCTTGACTGAATAGACTTGTGTTAATGGTCAGATTTCATTTCATTGAAACATTTGGCTGCTGGTTCAACAGTGTAAAGCACTTTGTAAATATAGAGTGCTGTTTAAATGCACTTTACTAGTTGTATTAAATATTTCAGTATTAGTTCTGTTTAATTGTACACCTGTACCACCAGTTACACTTCATAAGTCTGTGACAGCATTCAGGGAGAAAACTACAATACATCTACTTAACTATGATACTTTAAAAAGTAGTTTTTTAAATCAAAATGCCCCCCCCCCCCCCAAAAAAAAACCCACTGTTCTGAGCTCGTGTTCCGGTTCAATGTAAATATTTAATGGCTGATTAATTTTGTATGATGCAAACTAAATATTTTGGGTTTTAGACTAAATAAGTAATTTAAAAATGTAAATTAAGGCTCTGGGAACTTGTGACAAAGAGTCTTTTATGTTATCAGACAGTCTAAACAATTACAACCCTGACTGAACAATTGTATTCTGTGATCTACAGTAGTTCACAGTCCATATAGCACAACAGGAGTCCTCTGGTGCAGGGGATCATTCTGGAGTGACGGACACTCTTTATCCAGACCAGACTGACACAGGTATGTCAGTCCATAGAGAACCTGAGACTCTGAGACAGCTGGGGGGACATTACAGAGTCCCTTATATAAATAAGGCTTTGACCGTTAATACCTGCAATGCCAGCTAGATTACACATATGAAAAGCCTTCTGCACCTCAGAAAATACTGCTGTCAAAATAAAATCCGGCAAATATCCATGTGATCCGACAGTGAGCAGGCGTGACTGTTTAGTCCAAAGAGAAATGAAACCCCCGGCATTAAACTCGATGCTTTTGTGGCCATATAGGTACACAAATGTTTGAGTGAAAGCCTTTTGTCTTACATAAGGGCCTCTTGGCTTTAGTCACATACAGTCTTCTCTTGTTATTAGGTCAAAAACAGGAGGCCTAGCAGCTGGAAAACAACTCCCCTCCCTCTGCCGACAGCTTTAACACCAGCTAGTCTGTAGTTTCTTGAGCCATGTCGGGCTGATCCCACATGAAAATGGCTCACAACCGGTGTGACAGAGACAGTTCATGTCTGGAGTCGATGTGTTTCAAGAAGGGCAAAAGTTCGAGGCTATTTCAGACGGAAGCTAACTTAGCTTAGCTGCTTGGTGCAGAGTGCGTCATAGATGCAGTCACTGCACACACGAGTGAGGGGGACTGGGAGACGCCATTTTGATACAGTGGATACAGAAAACACGTCATATTGCATAATTATAAAGGCGCTATATATATATATATATATATATATATATATCTCTCAGACATTTAAAAACGGGACACATCTTGTTTTAAACTTACCGTTTTCGCGAAACAAAGACATAAACACAACGCTGATCGTCCAAGAGCCGCAGTGAACGGTGGTCGATGGCTGGTGGTGTTGTTGTATTGATTGGGTTCCTAATGAAGATGCGCAGTTCAACACCCGAAAGCGGCCAAAAAGGTGCAGGCGCCAGACTCAGAGGCAGGGGGGGGGGGTATCTGGAACGTCCTCGTGGTTTAGAGGGACCTTTTTGGGAGAAAGAGGCGTATTGTTAGCCCCCCCCCCACACACACACACACACTGCGGACTAGAAAAACGCTAACATCATCAAGGTGTCGTCGAGCATTTGGTTGGGTAATAGCTCAACAGCCACGTGGTTACCGCGTGACTATTGTAAAGAACGAAAAGAACAAAAGTCAGGACGATTCTCAAAGATTCCGTTATGTCACGTGGTAACGTGACGTTAACGGCTAACGACGTCAAGCTAACGTGTATCATCACCAAATTATTACACGCATATATATATATATATTTCATAAAAGGTATATTCATCCTCAAGGTGATACGATGACACCCTGCGTCTAAATACAGCTTCGTCATTCGTCCGTTATGTAGTTATGTAAACGGACGCTCACAGCATTAGAGCTCCAGGAAATAGCCGGAGCCCATTTACTGACGTCCCACGGCTAACATTAACTTAACGCTGACGACGCGGGTTTGGGTGAAGATAATACCTGGTCGACACACCTTTAGCGCTGGTTTAGCTAGCTACATTATCACCGAGGAATTACGATCGTCGACGTGAAATCCACGCGCCAGAATAAAATGTGATGAAATTATTTCACATCTTACCTCTCGAATGTTCTGCGAACCACTGCTGCTGTCGTCGCTTTTACTGACGCACGTCAAGGTAACACACGTTACCTACTTCCGGGTCGTAGCATTCATTTCAAATTAAAATCCGGCTTTCGTCGCACTTATTTATGCGGTAAAAAATACAAATATCTACGTCTGAGATGTCGTGGAGTAAAAAGTACAATATCTACCTCTGAGATGTAGTACATTAAAATATATAAATACAATTTAGCTCTTTCAGATTACAATTATTTATGGACCCCCATCCCCATTTTCATTACCTTCAATGTCACCTGTTTTATTTTGAAAGGACAAAAAGGAAGTATTATATCTACTTTGACGCATCCGCTGTCATTCTCTTCTCTGATTGGCTGACTGGCTTGACGCTATACGTGCGTAGGCGCTTCCTTAACTTGACGTTAGCAAGAAACGGCTAAATAGAAGATGGTGAGTATGAAAAATGGCGTAAAAGGCCACAATTTCCCACATTTACAGCTCGCATTTCGAGCACTTTTCTCGCTCAGTGTTTTCCACGAATGGCTGTCGACGTATGGAAGGTGACGTCATGGTTTTAAGCGCGTCACAATTGCAGTTTTTGGGGTGGGAAAGCTTCATTCCGAGATGGATCAGCGATCACGTGACAGCTGAGCAGTTTAGACCCACAACATATATTCAGCACACAAAGCTGCAAAAGCACCTTTAAAGTCACTCTTTTCATTCGCTCGGTGGTCTTTGAGGCTTGTCACGTGTGTTCGTCCACCATGCTTGTTGTTTGTTTAATTGATATCACGACATTTTTCACTTTTTCTTGTATGCTACAGCTGGGCTAACATGCTAACAGCTAACTTTATCAAATGAAGCACTTTCATGTGCAGCAATAATGTTCATCACTCAGTTATTAAGATAGCTAGCTAGACAGACAGACAGATAGATACTTTATTAATACCGCAAGAGGACATCTTTTTGCTGTAGCAGCAATTATGGTACAGGTAAATACAATAACAGTAAACATATTAAATATCAAATGCACAATATGTACAATGAAATAGAATATTAAATTAACTAACTAAACACTAGTGCAAAGATTTAACTAAACAACAGAGTAACGGAGTTATAGCAGTTAACCTGAACTGTACCTGAATAGGTCAGCCAACAGTTTTTACATTAGTGTTAAAACTAACGTTGGACGTTGTGTATTAGTTGTTTCATTCATTCTTTCGATTCGTCTTTATTTACCCGATTGATGTTGTACAATAGTTTGGAGCAAGATAATTGTAAAAAGGTCAAGTTTAGGAGCAGTTTGAATCTATGTGGTTGGTTTATTATAGTATTTAGTATTCAGATCCTACGACCACACTGCAAATACACCACTACCAGTAAAAGTCCTGCATCCAAAACCTTACTAAACATATAATATGTAAGTCTTATTATTAAAGTATACTGTAAAATTATTGTTATTGCAGTGAAATGTTCCCTGTCAGTGTTTCACTGTTATACATTATGTTTCTGGATTAATATCACTGCTGCATTAATGTGTATGTTACATGTTAACTCTTTTATATCATGTTGTCTAGTTTAATCTACATTAATGCATCTTAATCTATCAAATCATCACGTTTGTGTCTCTAAAAAGAAAAACAGCTGTTTTCAGCTTTGTGACGATGTGTTTCCAGCGTACACTGAGTTTATTTAGCTGAAGAAGAAGAAGAAAGATTTATCAACACATAAAGGAAACACCTCATCCTTCAGTTTATCACAAACATTCAACAGCAACACATCTGGAGATACGAGCTTTTACCTGGACAGGAAGTAACTAAAGCGCTCAGACAAATGTAGTAAAAAGTACAATATCTACCTCTGAGCTGTAGTACAGTAAAAAGTACAATATCTACCTCTGAGCTGTAGTGAAGGAGAAGTATAAAGTAGCATGAATATAAATACTCAAGTACAGTACAAGAACCTCAAACGTGTACTTGAGCACAGTACTTGTGTACATGTACTTGGTTACATGCAGTGATTGTAACTAGTTCCCAGTCAGCACTGTGATTTGCTTCCTCGCATGATTTTCTCACTCAGTCCGGTGAAAACGTGTGCTTTATCATCATCACTGACATCAACCTTTACCAATCGACTCAACACATTGTTGTTTTAACTTTTTACTTTTGGAATGATTAATATCTGTCTACTTAATCCATTCACTTTTTAATTTCTAATTTCAGTTTTCCCCTCTTGTCCCACCTCTTTCTTGTCTTTTGTTCTATTCTTTCGTTGATCATTCCCTGGTGTCGTTCTCTCCGTGCACATCCTGTCTTCCTCCCTATCTCCCCCCCCCCCTCCAATCAACCAGACTGGTCACCGGGTAAGTTCCCTCCCGCTCTGTGTTGGATCCCTGTTTTTCTGCTCGCTCTCCTGAGCCGCCTCACTAACATCTGGGTTTTGGGATCACACCGCTGTGGAGGTTTCTGATGTTTCTGCTGCTAATTCAGCAAACTGCACCGGCAGACTACGGCGCTTTAATGACACCCGCTGCTCTCTGCTATTCTCCTAAATAAGAAATACTCACGTTACCCAAAAAGTCTAGAAATAAGTCAGAGTAGGAAACCCGAAGCTCCCGTGTTAGACCTCAAAAAGCTGTGTAGAAATGTGCTGTGACTCAGATGGGCTTCATGTTGTTGAAGATGTTTCACAACGTTAAAACGATTCCTCCTTTGGGAGTCCTTTACTCGTGACTCATCTGTTCCAAAACAGGAAGTCATTGTCAATGGAGGCTTTCCACTTTCCACGGATGAGCTGGAGAAGTTTTAGCCATTGTTTTGTGTGAAGAAGAATCCGTAGTTCAATCAAATTCATTGTTTTGTTTTAGAGTAAAAGAACATTTGATGCAGTAACTGTCCATCATAAGTCCCTCAGCTACAGTGTACAATCAAATATTTGAAGTGTTGTTTTTTCGTAACATGCAACCACGATTAACCTCCTCAGCACCTCTCTGCTCTCCAGTGGAGTATAAAGTGATTTATGATGTTCAGTGTGAACCTGTTTGATTCTCATTGACTCCTTGTGTTGTGTGAGAACGTCATTATCTCTCATGTCCTACATCTGTTATTGAGTGTCTGAAATCCTGCTGTGTTCTGGTTCAATCCATATTTTTCCACCATGGGCGGCTGTTTTTTTTAGTTGATTATGTAACACGTAACTTTCCAGTTAGAATTCAGACACTTAATAAACTCAGCTTGTTACTCACGAGCACTGCTTATTCACAAGTTTGATCTTCTATGAATTCAGCCTGTACATCCACCGGGCTGAATTCATCTGGACGAGTTGTTGTTCAGGTGCAATAACATTAAACCGAACAGTATTTTGCTGCTTTCACACAAGATACAAGACAACTTGATGAGAAGCAACCGAGGAACACAGCTGTTCTGGTGGATCCCACAGAGCTCTGTCCTCGGCCCGCTTTCTTTTCTCAGTGTTCAGATGCTTCACCTCACAGCCTGAACTCTGCCTCCTCGGTGGGTGTCTAACCTCTCCGTGTGTGTGTGTGTGTGTGTGTGTGTGTGTGTGATGCCATCAGTTGGTCCTGGTGTTAGGTGACCTGCACATCCCCCACCGGTGCAACACCCTGCCAGCCAAGTTCAAGAAGCTGTTGGTCCCGGGGAAGATCCAGCACATCCTCTGCACAGGAAACCTCTGCACCAAGGAGAGCTATGACTACCTGAAGACGCTCGCCGGGGACGTCCATATCGTCCGAGGAGACTTCGACGAGGTCGGCGTGTGTTTGTAGACGCACAATGAAAGAGAACGTGTTAATCGCACCACAAAATACAACTGGGAATAGACAGACCCGGCGTCTTTAATCACTTTAAACTTTAACGTTTTCATGCAAAAAAGCTGTTTTCAGCCTCTCACATATGGAGATTTCCTGCTTTCTTCTGTTTTATAACTGATGATCTTTGAGTTTTGGACAGACACAAGCAGACATTTAAAGACATAACCCTGGACATTTTATAGACCAATTCATCTAGAAAATACTCATCAGATGAGTTGATGATAAAAGTAATCATTAGAAATGTCCTAGAAATGAATTGGGCTGTCTGTGTGGTTTAACAATGTGACGGGAGAATTTCATTGTTCTTCAAAGTCCATGAGCATTTTTATTTTAGAGAATTTTCAATAAGAGGTTTTTAAACGAAGGGTACAGATGATAAAAAAAGACATCATTTATGTGGCTTGATATTAAATTGCAAGAAGGAAATAAAAAGGATCTCTTGCCGGTAATAAAGACTAACTACCGTGTAATTAAATGGTAATTGTTCCCCCCTCTATATTTGAGCTTTATGTTCCTTGTACATATCACAGTTTTCAGTGGGAGATCACGAAGAACAAGTGTATAAATACAAGAATTTTCAAGTACAAACATTTTTTTCCTTCTGGTTTCCTCTCAGAACCTGAACTACCCGGAGCAGAAGGTGGTGACGGTGGGCCAGTTTAAGATCGGCCTCATCCACGGCCACCAGGTGATCCCTTGGGGCGACATGGCCAGCCTGGCGCTGCTCCAGAGACAGCTGGACGTCGACATCCTCATCTCCGGACACACGCACAAGTTCGAGGCATTCGAGAACGAAAACAAGTTCTACATCAACCCGGGTTCAGCCACAGGAGCCTACAGCGCACTGGAAAGGTAGAGGTGTATTTTATTTTAATATAATATAATCATGTTTTGCCCACAAAGAGTAGTTTTTATGCTCTTTAAATCCAGCCTAGTATCCAGTCCCAGTACAGAAGATGAATACTTCCTCATAGCGTTGAAGAGTTACATTTATCAAACTCAACAGCGACATCTTTGGGTCTACTTTCTGTCAGATAAATAGATGTGCTGGAGCGAAGAGATGTCGCTGCAGACCTTTTTCACACTGATGATGTTCTCGGGTGTAACAGTAGAAACCAGCCCGACTGTGATCAGCAGCCTGTGCAGGAGGAAGAGCCTCGACCTTAAAACACATCTGTCTTCTCTCCTTACAGCAACATCATCCCCTCTTTTGTATTAATGGACATCCAGGCGTCCACAGTGGTGACATATGTTTATCAGCTGATTGGCGACGACGTCAAGGTGGAGAGAATCGAGTACAAGAAATCTTAAAGGAGGAGGAGGAGGAGGAGGAGGAGTTGGGTTAGCGTGTCTCAGTGTGTCGTTTCATTCCTTTTCCACCAGGGGGCAGCAGCTCTCCTGCAGTCGCCACAATGTTAATGCCGTAACAAACTGTTTAACTCTAAAAGAAACGTGCATTATATTGTTTATAAGTCATCAGCATTTGCTTGTATCCAAGCTGTCATTTGGTAACTGTAGAGAATGCAATGTCACATGCATTTGTTATCTAAAGAAATATTTGGTGCCATTTTTCTTCTTTTTCTTTTTCTTTTTTGTTTCATCATTTCCGCCCCGCCCCGCCCCGCGTCCTGTAACCAGCAGGTCTCCAGATTCATGTAGTCTGCCTTTTTTTCATTTGATTTATTTCCCACAATAAAGATCTTATTTCACTCCATCGGTTGTTTTGTCTTAAATAACTGATCGATAGATGGATACTGAGAGAAGGAGCAGCAAACCTGATGTTATTGGTTTAACTTAGTGGACAATACATTGACAAAAGTCCCCAAATGTTCTCCAAGGTCACCATTAATGTGAACCAGAACTATGTGGTCACCTGAACATTCCAAAACATCCCAAAAACATGAACATAAATCAGCTGCTGTAACTTCCTCCGCTCTCTTTCCACCAGATGTTGATCTTTGCGTGAAAGCGCCTTCGTCAAGCTGTTATTAATAATATTAAAGATGGATACAATGATTAAAGCAATGGGATACTATTCAGTGGATATGAGACCTTGGTCAGTTTTAAGTTAGAAAACTAAGCTAACAAAATAATTGTAGCCTCACAATAATAAACATCAATGACCAAAGAATACGTTTGGTCAAAGGTTTCACATTCAGCCATCTTACTCAATCAAAAATCACTGAGGCGCTGACACTTCATGAAAAAGACACACGACAGGAGACACATTTTAATAATTGATTCAAGTGTTAAATATTACAGCACGCATACATAAATATATCTATATTTTTTTTTTTTTGGGGTCCAATTGTGACTAAAAACGCCCCAAAACAGAAACCCTGGCCCTCAATAAGAACTGCTAAATGACTGAACTTTGACTTTTACATTCCCATCAGACATGTAGGAGAAAGTATAAATACCATAAAGGAGAGGTTTTAAAGGATGGAGGCCTGCCTCTCCAGAGGGAATCCTCACAGTTTCAGGGGAGGAATCATTGAGTGGAAATGAAAAATATTACGTTAATTTAAAAAGCCTTTTTCAAAGCTTTGTCTGAGGGGAGACGCTGAGTCTGAGAAAACCCCACACAGCCATGCAGCGTATAGGAACCATGGCTGCAGTCCATCTAGGGGTCTGAGCTATAGATGAAAAGAATAAAAATAAAGATTATCAGTTATTTTCAGATAAATAAAATCACCCTCCCTATAAAAAGTGTCTGTTGCTGTTTGTTGTAGTTGATGTTGAAGGGCTCAATAAAAGAAATGCATGTGGTTTACATGTTTCTCAAGTGAACACTGACAGCTTCAGACACTGACATGTGGTCACGTTGCTCACCTTTCACCGACACAGGAACTGAACACGTGATTTCCTGGAATCAAAGTCTTCAAAACGTTTCCTCTCGCTGCCACCAGGGCGCCAACCCGGTGAAGGAATAACAACACAGCTGCAAACTGAGCTGCTGCTCACAATGTCTTCTCTGTGTTTACATTCAATAAGATCCCCAATTTCATGCTAAATGTTTTAAACCAAGAGGTTTGTTGTCCTTCATCCGGACACATAGTATTATAGAAGTTAATAATAATAATAATAACAACTTTATATAGTTCAGTTAAAGGCAGAGGTGGAAGAAGGATTCAGGTCATTTACTGATTCATATTATTTATTTATCTATTTATTTATCGATTCATTTTTTTACTTAAAAAATATGTAATAATGTAAAAGTTAAACAACAACATGCAAAGAAGTTACATTTGAGAGGAAGTACAATAAATAATGATTATATTTATATTTATTTAACTGTAAGAATTTAAAGCCAAGGCTATCTGTGTAGGTGCACAATAGATCTCAATAATTGATGCTTTTACCTTCAGAAATGGGGCTGAGGTTATAGTTTTGGGGATTCATACAGTCGTCATGTGTTGGAGTTGTGGTTCACATGTTGCAGCTGGTGGTCTGTTGATTTTCAAACCACTGTTGAAGTTCACAGCGGCATTCTTTTAAAGCTGTTAGCAGAGAGAAAACAGACTGAGGCCTCAGCTGAAACTGAAGGTGTCTTTAACAGAGCGCTCAGAGGTGGACAGAAAAAAAACCTGATTTTAAAGAGAAGGGAAGGACACAAATAATTGTATAAATAGTGATACTAGCGCACACTTTCACACCGTCTTTCCTCACAAGCATTCCCAAATGCTGCACTTGTTTGTACACAGGAAAAGTGACAGAAGTAGTTGATTAAAAATGACAAAAGAGAGCCGGAGAGAAAAATGTCTGACCTGATTATACCTGGGTGATATTGTTGGACTGTCTACTGGGGAAGGTTTGAGGCACACTAAGGCCTGACAGTGACAGCAACAATCCTGAGTTCAAATCAACTGCTTATCAGAATTGAACCTGAGACAAAACCAAAGGCTTGTATGTGGGCTTCCTTAAACAGTTGCTATCTATATAAACAGGACCAGGGAGCTTTCTTCCTGTAACCTGACTCAGGTCAGACTCAGGTCAGGTTCAGGTGTGGGATTTACCCTTGTTTCCATTGAACTCACGTCCCTGTGTGTCCGATAGAAAACCTCACTCTCAGGTTTCAAAGCAGACAGGATACTCGACATGTCATGTTTTGCTTAATTAATGAGGAGATCTGTACCAAGGGAAGACAGCGAAATAGACAGATGAATAGAAAGCTGAGACATTATTTGTGTTTTCCTCTTATTTCTGCTCCTTTACAGCTGACAAGAAAAGCCATCATTGATTCATTCATCCCAGTCGTCCTGCAAAAGACACAACATACAAGTGTCATCTCAGTAATATTTACTCAAATTCACAGGTTAAATAAGGATAAGGATAAGGATAAGGATGTTTATTGTCATTGTACGAACATATAGTGGGACCCTTATATGTGGTACCTTTACATTGGTTATTCTCGATGACTCAGCTCCTGATTGGAGATGTGACCACTCTGTTGAACCTGGACTTTGTTCAGCATTAATGTCCATTAGAAAAAAAACCTTACAGCCACGTGACATTTCACTGCACCAGCCAGTGGTTGGGTGGCGTTTTGGCTCCATCCACCGCTGTTGAACTCAACCAGTGAGATTCATTCTGCCTCTTCCTGCATCAAACACAAACATGAACACAGTTGTGAAATATTCATGTTCATGTTTGTTGGAATCAAAGGGATTATCCGGCTCTGCTACACTTGGGTAATGGATATTCCCCGTGCTCTCGGTGCTCGAGGAGTGAGAGGTAATTTCCCTGATCATTTCTCATCGGCTTTCACTCCCACAGCGCTCGTCGTCACAATCAGACACACCTATGCAAGCCTTTAAAGCTCGGCCATCTTCTTTGGAAACAGTCTTTGCAATATGAACTGCAAACTATTTGAGCCACTCCCCTCAGGCAGGAGGCCGCAGTCTCTCAGGACCGAAACGTCACGGCACAAAGACATCTTCTTCCTCATCAATAAGGGCGGGACCCCGTCTGACATGGACTCTTATCCCCTCCCAGAGACCCAACACGCCACAGTAACATCCGTCTATGTGGGTTACATTAACGCACATCTCTGGGTCGATATCTCTGTACGTTGTCTTTTCAAACTTCACACTGTGTACCTTTTCACATTCCTTTGACAATTTTGCACATATTTTTTACAGTATTTTATTCTATTCTATTCTTTATGGTTCTTGCTTTTTTTGTACTTTTATTCTGAATTAGATTTTCTCTTACTATGTTTCTCTTACTATGTTACGCACCAAAACACACACAAGACGAGTCCATGTACTGTCACTTACTTCATAAACTCATGCTGAACAAAATAGGCAACTGGAAATGTGAAAAACCAGTTTCACATTGAAATGCCCTCTGGTGACTTTTCTTTCCACAACAAACTGGCAGGAAAAGAAAGAGCCAAGCGAAGTGGTTTTCTATTTGCAAACCACTCATGACTCACACAATGGTATGCTGTTTGATATCTAAAACCTTCATTTCAAGTCACTATACAAAGAACCCATGTTCATGATGTGTGTGTATGTAACTATAAAAAACACCAGAAGCTTTGAGGCTATGGCTGCTGTTGTTTTGGTGTGAACAAGATAAGATGGAGTCTTTTTTTGACACCTTTAAGTAACCATGTATGTCTGTGCCCCAATAGGGAACCTCTATGCTTTATTTTTGATTTAAGTGATATTAACAACAAAGCAATCTGCATTTAAACTGTGTCACCAGGCAACAATAATGTCAAGCAGACATTTTGACTTACCTTTATTCAGGTCCACTGAACCTAAGACTTTGGTTTAGTGGTCTTTAAGTATTAAGGGTGGCTCAAAGGGCCTTTTTACACTTTGACTCGTCACAGCAGGAAAACGCTTGTCTCAGCACGGACCCTGAAACTGAAACAGCCACATATTCAGCCATCATTCATCTTCATTATTTACACCTGTGCTTTTCCTCCGGTCCGTCAAACGGTCTTATGACAAAGACAAAGCAGATTGCATGGGATGCATGTAAAACGGTTGGCAACATGTAGAATACACATTTAAGAACTCTAACCTTAATGTTGAGTGCAGAAGAGCTGCATTTATATATTATTATGTGACAAAACAATCCCACCGCAATGTTGAATGACTGATTAAGGCCAATTATTATTAGCATAGCATATTATCATGAGCTGTAGTGGCAGCAGCTGCAGTATTAACATTGTATTGTTGTGGCTCTTCTCAATATTAGACAACTTTCACTGTACCGGCGGGAATCAGCTCCCAAAGGAAAGTGAAAGTAGTGTCGGTGTAATGGGAAAACCCCGTTTACCCTCCCGAACAAAAGAATGAGAGAGCTGCGGACTCAGATAAAAGCAGCACTCAGCAGGACCGTGCAGCGAGAAGGTAAAACGTGTGAAACCTTTCAAACTGGAGGTGACACGTTTAAAAATGAAGGGGTTTAAAGCACTAAAATCTTGGAGGAACGACCGGAGACCTTTAGTAGAGAGTAACAGCAACGACATACAAGACGGTGAGACTCTTTTATGAGTTGGCTTTGTTTATAGATGCACGAGGGAGCTCCTTCATTCATTTAGACTCGTTATTTAGATAATTATTATCCTTTATAATATACTTATGCATGTTTTTGTTTTGTCTTTTTACTGTCATCTCTCTGCCTTGTTTATATTGTTCTTGCTTTTATTGTTTCTTTTTTTTTACCATGTAAAGTGCATTTGGGTACCTTTTAAAGCGCTATACAAATGAAATGTATTATTATTAATATTATTAGAACATCTGAAAACTGAGATATGAAGTGTTGAATTAAAAAAAGATGGCTCAGAAGTGCAGTAAAAAGTGCTTCTGAATCACGTCTTCTGTAAAAACAGATCTATTGAAGTGACACAGATATAAAACATGTCAAAAATGAATTAATAGTGGAGCACATTGAAAGTGTTGGAGCAGTATTTGGACAACTGTGTCAAGAAACTAAAGCTGTAAAATAATTGGAGTGAAGTAAAAAGTACAACACTTCCCTCTACTGGTGTAGAAGTACAAAGTGGCATGAGATTGAAATACTAAATGCAAGTACCTCTAATTTGTACTTAAGTACTTAGTTACATTCCACCACAAGGTTTAACACTCATAAAGGAGTGAGTCAGCAGAACTGTGACATACATGTTTCATTTATTTGTATTTTACAGTAATATTTACAGTGTTTTTACCCTAAAAGGCTTGCATTTGACTCTTTCATAGTTCCCGACCTGATTTATGACAATACCCTAACTCAGAACACTTTGAACACCCATGAGGAGCGAGGCCAGCAAAGTGAGGAACAGATCACACCTCCGATCACGCTTCAGGAAGCAGCTCACCTTCTAGGTGTGGCCCCTGATGCTTTGACCTCTGAGGATGGACCTCTTTGCTCAATGCGTCCTGATCTCAATGCAGAACGGCCTGTTGTTCACCTCATGCAAATATCTGTGGACCAGCACTTCCCAAAGACACCGGCCGATGTGGACCAGAACCTCCAGCGGCACCTGTTAAATGTGCAGGACGCTGTGCGCGAGCAGCTGGTGAGGCTGGATCCCCGGTTGCATTCTGAGGGGTTGATCCAATGCTACCATCGTCAGATATTTGAACACCTTGATGATCTACTTCAGAACATCAGCTCCTCCCAGAATCACTTACTGCTGATAAAGTGGGTCCTACAGACATATCTGAGGTATCTATCTCTACTTTCTTATCCACTGTATCACTGTACCAGGCTTGTATTAGAAGTACACTTATATCAGAGACAAGCCTGTTTGTCATATTCTAGTATGAAGCTCCCTTCTTCTTCTGATCTGCTACCGTTTTCTCTGTTAGATTTGTGTTACTGCATTATGACTATTATTACAAACTCAACCCTTCCTGTATCTGTTCGAAACTAAAAGCCCTGTAGTCCTGTTTCAGTGGAACGTTTCAGGAAATTCTATCACTTGCACTGTTCCAACGTGGTATTTCAAATGTAGCTGCTGCCATCGGGTGGCACTTGTATGCTAGTACAAAACCTGGACATGAACACATGTACACCCACAGTGACTGAAACAAAACCATAACACTTTAGATGAGTAGCACAGTGCTGAAAACAGAATGAGTATATTGTTGAATTTGATAAATTAAAGTGATGGAAATCTACATTGTTCTTAGTTAGCATGCACCAGGAGGCTATACACCTTGTTTTTCCCCACGGCCTGTCAGCTATCCATAACGCTAACAAAGTCCAACAGGCACCTCTAAAACTCACAACATCACATGTTACATCTTATCAAAAGAAAAACTGGTCCCCGTCAATACATACATCTGCATATGACCCATTGTATAAGGTGCAAATTGTCATTTTTACACTTTGGTGTTTTGGATAAAACAAACAACAAGCTTTAGACGTGCTGGTGGGCGGGTTTTGTGATTACTGTACAGACCCAGGCTAACTGTTTCCCCCCGTTTCCAGTCTTTGTGCTAAGCTAAGCTAATCATCTGCTAGCTGTCACTTCATATTTAACAGACACATTTTTTCTCAACCAAATATAAGCATGTAAACATACTAAAAAATGTCACAATCTTCTGAGCACTTCTTGTACTCTGAATAACTTTGATTATTATTTGTGTTACTTTCCAGTCAGGACCTGCTTGGTCATCCTGGCCTTCAATACACAGATCCCATAAAAAAAGTCGACCTCCTGCTGTTCACGCAGTGGGTATCAAGAGCAGAGGAACAATTTCTTAAAAATGTGGAGGTAAGAATACTAACAATCTGAAGCTTGTACTTGTTGTTTATTTTAAACACTTCATCAATTAACAGATTATTTAGACTGTTTTGTTTAACCTCTTACACTTTTCATGATGTTTCTTTTCATTGTGTCTCTGTTAGCTAGCAAGCTAAATCACCGAACTGTTTATATCATAATTGCTCTTTTGCTAACGGTTCCCAAATCCACATTTTTCATTTTAGCACATAACTTCAACCATATGAATAAAACACTTTTTGAGTAATTAAAAAACATATTTTTGATGAAGCTAAATAGCTACCAGTTTCCAGCAGGTTTAAGTGTTTGTGCTAAGCTAGCTTAATGACACAACACTTAGCAATAGTGTTTTTAGGTAGACAAAATGGTCAGAAAAAATTACTTCCGACAGATTTTTATCTAGGAAAACCCCTCTACGTTTTTTACCAGAAGTTTGGCTCACAGCAATATTTCGCGGCTGGTGGGCACTGAGGTGTTTAATATCATTTTTTCTTCAATAGAAAGACTTTAAAAAGTGGGCTGTAGAAGATAATCCACATCGTTAGTGGTGACTGCAGTTACTATCTTCTACAAGAATCACTAACGTCTGAAAGCTACGAGCCAATGACGACACTAGTACATGGCAAACAGCCAATCAGATTACAGTCTCATTACCAAAGCTTTAGCACCATTAAACCTGCACTAAACACATTTAAACACTATTCTATCCAGCATATTAAATGGCAGAATTATGATGAATAACAGCAGCAGCCAATGTTTTTTTTATTTTTTATGTCATGCATTAATTCAGAATTATATTCATTTCTAAATGACTCATTCAGTGCTACTAAAACCACCCTTTTTTCTGCTGCTACTTCTGATGTATTTCTGTGTATTTTTGGTTCACAGACAGAGAACACACGGTTCCTGGAGAACATTCTGCAGAATGAGAGAAGCCACGAAGCTCAGGATGAACTTTATGTGGACACAATTCAGGTACTTAGTGACCCAGATATCTTTCAATCAAACATTTGTTTGCTTTATTTTTTATATTCTATTTGTCTGTCTGTTTATTTCTTGTATAATGACATTGTTTCCTTTCTGTTGTTGTTTATCTTTCAGTGCATTGACGCCATGCCCAGAGAAGCACTCAAAATCAGCTCAAAACTGTCTGATCAGGCGCAGGAGGTTTGTTTGCGAGAGCTGCTGACGTTTCTGACAAGGTGAGAATACATTTTAGATTTTCACATAGACTTTATGACCATCAATACCACCATAAAGTCAGTACGTTGCATTGCTAAGACTGCATACTTTCTTTGGTTTGTAGGTACAGGGATAAGCAGACTGACATCCTTGCAAAGACAGCAAAAATGAACAAACCAGAAACAAAACAGTTCTTCAAGACTTTGAACAACTGTAAAGAACTCAAGTGAGTATTATCAATTCAATTCCATTCAAACTAGTTATTCAAGCATATTTTATTTGCAAACAAGGTTTCTAATAAAAACACATTCTTTAAACAGCCAATGCAACATAGAAATGTAGTTAAAATGCACGAATCAGTAGTTAATAGACTTGATGTAAGAAAATAGATATAATGACGATAATTGACGATGATGTCTATGATATTTCCTCTCAGGCAGCACATCCACACAAAAGCTATACAAACAAAAGAATCCAGTCTCAAGGACATCATTACCAAAGCTGTGGCAATGCTTGAAAACATGGAGGCTTTTACTTTGAAACTTCTAAAGGAAATCATAGCTGACATTGTGGAGGTAGCTGTTCAACTTAATCACAAATATACAGTTTTCTCACATTTCAAAAGGGGCATATATTTATTTTGAGAAATAATATTAATGTTTTGTTAAATTGCAGAGCCACCTCAAGAAATACTTCAAATCGGATAACAGGGAATTCCTCTATTTGATCGATGAAGTAAAGAGGCTTTTGTCAGAGCTGTCAGACTATCAGGATGTACAAACGGTACATCAACAAATCTGAGCTTTAACAGTCTTGAATCTTTTTCCCCTCTTTACTTTCTAATGGTAAAAGATTTTAAATATTAAACAATGACAATGAAAAACAAACAAACAAATCTTTCAACATTTGTGCTTTTTATACTCTTATTATATGTCAGATTTTCATTTATTAGCCATTGGTGTTTTATGCCAGCTTCCGCCGATTCCTCGTAATGCCTTCTTTACTTGCTATTTTTGTAGATTTTAATTATTGAAAGATTACCAGTGTAATTGCACACTGTAAGATACGTAAACATTTCCATTCGTGCATGAAAAAATACACTTAAAAGAAAGGAAAAGGAAAATGTATGTTCCATCCTTGATATGATGCCGCAATTATAGACTCTTTAATCTTGATTTAAGACAGGAAAGGTTCACCTAAGACTTGACTTTGGATTTATTTGCTGTCATGCACGATAAAAGTATAGAAAAGGAAACTATATTACATGCAGAAAAAATAACGTAAATGATCTCTGAATAAATTGTAAAGAATATGAATTCATTGCATAATTTTTGTGTCTATCTACGTTTATGTTGTTTCGTTCTTGTTCTTCTTGACAAAAACTGAACTGTGTCTCTGTCCGTCTTTGCGTCTCTCAGAGAGTGATGGACGAGGCCTACAAGCTCATTGCTCACATTTACTTCAAACGTCTCATCAAAATCAGCCAGAGAAAACTGAGGAAGTCCTGGCATCCAGATGTTGGACAAGAAGTCGCTAAAGATGCTGAGCATCTTCACAGCATCATCTCATATCTGGTGAGATCAACACTGTGCTTGTTCTCACGACTTGTTAATGACATTGATTCATTAACGGCTGGGTAAAACCTTCACTGACCCGTGTGTGTGGTGTCGTATCAGGTTCCTGGTGTCGGTCAGTGGAACGTCATGCTGCTGAAAGTCGGAGAGCTGTTGGACTGCAAAAGTCTCGTGGCGACGAAGATGACAGTGGCAAGCATGCAAAAGGAATGTTACACGTGGAGGTAAATCATCCTTGTGTTTCTTACACACATCTGTGTCCAATTTTTTAAATAATGTTGCCTTTGGCCATCTGTGTATGTTTATACAGGACCGATCTATAATCAGAAACTTAAAATCTGTTCTGTTAAAGCACTAAATCTAGCCTTTGTGCTAACATTACTGGTTAAGCATTTTTGCTACTGGGTTACCCTTTATGCTACTGTGTTAGCCTTTGTGCTACTGTGTTAGCCTTTGTGCTACTGGGTTAGTCCTTGTGCTACTGGGTTAGCCTTTGTGCTACTGGGTTAGTCTTTGTGCTACTGGGTTAGCCATTATACTACTGTGTTAGCCTTTGTGCTACTGGGTTAGTCTTTATACTACTGGGTTAGCCTTTATACTACTGTGTTAGCCTTTGTGCTACTGGGTTAGTCTTTATACTACTGGGTTAGCCTTTGTGCTACTGGGTTAGTCCTTGTGCTACTGGGTTAGCCTTTATAATACTGGGTTAGCCTTTATACTACTGGGTTAGTCTTTGTGCTACTGGGCTAGCCATTATACTACTGTGTTAGCCTTTGTGCTACTGGATTAGTCTTTATACTACTGGTTTAGTCTTTGTGCTACTGGGTTAGTATTTGTGCTACTGGGTTAGCCTTTATACTACTGGGCTAGTCTTTGTGCTACTGGGTTAGTCTCTCTTGGAAGTGCATCTCTCTAACTCCTGGTGTTTTGTCTGCAGCGAGGACCTGGAGCTCCTGCCCGCGCTGCTGCAATGGAAGGGTCTTTCTAGATGGGAGATTGGGGAGGTGCAGAATGTCCTGGAGGACCTCCCTGGCTTTCAACCCAGACCCAAAACTGCATCTTGTTTTACCCGGTTGCTGAGCTGCTGTACAAGAGAATCAACCGCAACAAGCTAAGAGGACAGATCTCAAATCTGATGTAAAGATTGAGAAGCAGTCATGTTACAGAGGGTTGTTATCAACTAGGACACAAAAGGGATTAAGTCTGTGTACAGTATGTCACTGATTTCCTTTCACGTGTTGTTGTCATGTAAGGAAAGTGGATTTTTTAAAGTCTTGTTTCCTCAAAGTTTGCAAAACGAGAAAATCTACACACCATGAATTTCAGTGCAGTGGAAATGCTAATATGTTAATCAGTGCACTGTTAGGTGATGTGTTCTTTGTTTTAGTGGTTGTTAAAGGTGTTTACGTTCTTAAATATGGACTGAGGTTGAAAAATATATTGTTCAGGACGTCCTAAACAGTAAAATAATATTTTGTGCAAAACACTGTACATTGAGTTTTACATTTTTCAGATTTGGCAACCTGTACGCATTTTGACATTAAGTACGTGCGATTTGTCAGTCTAAAGTACGCAAAAAGCTGGTGACGCCCACAAACTGTATAAAATATGGACGTAGGTTTCTGAAGAGCCGTTGTGAAGCTCAAAGTGGGCGGCTCCGACCGCCGCCATCTTGGTAGTGACACAACCTAACCGTTACTTAACCGTTTTATTGTACCAGGCTGTAAAACATGTTTATTTCTGCTGTAAAGTTGGACATTTTAACATGAAGGTCTGTCAGGATAAAACAAATCGACAGCAACACCCGTTACCCCTCCTCACTCTGCTGGTTCCTCAAGTGAAGACGGTTCTTTAGGCTTTTTTGCAAAGGTAAAAGAACCGGAGGGGACGTGGAAAGTTAAGATTGAAACCTGAGTGACGTTAACGGTCCGCATGTATTTGCCACCTAGCTTGGTAGTTCCCCGGCCACTTCAATTGGCAAAGTAAATTAACTTGTCCGTGTGTTACAGACGGTTAAAACATACGTGAGTTTTCATGGAATTCATAACAATGATTGCAGCCCAACCCGTTATCCTAACGAGGGAACGCGCCGCAAAAGTTCCTGTAAAAGTTACCGGGAGAGAGGACCATGACTCTGCATCTCATTTTATCAAAGGGACGTTTTTTTTGTTGAGCTCTGAAAATCAAAACACAAGAACAAAAAATGTAAAAGCACCAAAAGGGAAACGCAAACGTTTTTTTGTTTTCTTTCACAGTTACAAAATGACTCTTCTTTTGTTTCAAACCCTTAAATGCTCAATTTTTTAAATGTTCTTTTCTTTTCTTTTTAGTTTACGGACTTTGAACTGCACTGATAGAGATGTTCTGTGTCTTTATTATAATGTAATATTTTAATAATATTCATTAAATTATTTATTTATATGAAAACCTCCCTGTACTCATGGCAGTCATCCGCACATTTTCAAACTTCACTGTTAAAAGAAAAGATTCTTCTATTTTGGTTGCTGAGTATTTTTAGATTTGTATGTCTTCTTCCTATCTTCATAAAATCAGCTTAAAGGTGTATCTATATATATACATATACTCTAATTTCTACATGCAAAACCTTTTAACAATGGTTAAACTTCAGCTGAGTATTGGTTTACTGGTTTTAATTCCCTCTTCATGTCCAGTCCAAAGTCATATTGCTGCTTCAGTGTAACAGTTAATGCCTTTGTATTTTATTAGTGTTATTTATTGTATTTTTCTGTGGTCGTTATATTTGTTCAGAAACTTATATATGGGGTTACAGGGACACACAAAAAAATGTTTGTTTTTGTCAGCAAAGCAATTAATAAAAACATTCAATAAAAATTAAGATTTTGTCTGCATGGTCATTGTACTGTCACCAGAGGGAGACGAACATCAACGTACAAGTCAAGACTTGAATGGGAGTTAAATTCTTGCTCCACAAAACAGATCCCAGAACAGCGGTTCTCGATCTGGGAGGTTGGAGCCTCTTGCAGTTTTGTTTTTTTGTGCAATTGCCAAAACACAAGAACACACGTATTGAAGCCTGTGGGTGTCGTTTGCTAAACAGTGCCATTGAAATACCACACTCAATTATCAATCACCTGCACCCAGAATGCACCAGTGAAAACACCTGTAACTAAATAGATCACTGAGAAATCAGAGCTTACATACTTTAAATAAACACAGTAACTATGTTTATGTTACGTTTAGGTAAAGTTATTGTGTCTGATACGGTTATGAGTAGATGAGTAATGTGAATAAACACATTGCAGTTGTGTTCACAGTCTATATTCAGCTGCAAATGAAAATGCCAAGGACTTTACCTGTGTTTTATACTAGAGCTATTTATTTTGGTGTTGTGTGGAAAAAGATGCAAAAATGATGCAAAGTACCATTTTTAGAAGAGTTTTGAATTTTGAGTTATAGAGATTCGACAAAGAGGGTCCTAGTTTATTAAGAAATTGTGTTTAGCAGTTGCAAAAAACTGATAAATGAAGTAGAAAAAAGATAAAAGTGAGGGGACACAAGATGATTAAAGCAATGGAAATTAATATTTTTGTCACACACATTTTAGTTTTTCTCATTAATCCTTAAACTGCTCAAAACTCCACACTAAGGCCACATTTGTAACCTGCCAATAGGACTCTTTCAAGTACACTTTGCTTTATTTTGAGGGGCAACAAACCAACAACATGTTGAAGATCTTTATTTTTGTCATATGCACATCAATTCTAGTGAAGTGGGATTAACAATAACACCTTTCAACAACGCTCACATGACAAGAATGCATGTATACAAAGAAAATCACATGAATAAACATGAACTAGTGCAGAAGTAGAAATATAAGAGTAAAATATAATATAATAAAATAAAATATAATATAGAACATATAAGAGATCATGTGCTCGGACGTGTGTGTGTGTCTGTCCACAGTTAATCTCACATACTGCTGGATCCATCAACCTAATATTTTCTGTGTTCATTTATGAATCTAACCTCTCGCTGTTCGCGGTGATTCACACTTGAAAAAACTATTTTATTGAACGCTTTATACCGTCATTGACCGATGGCTCCTCACTCCTCTTAACCGGCCTTAAAGGGACAACTTCTTCAGTAGCAAAATACATTTCCGGACAAAAACAAGCCTCACTAGTCCGTTGCAGAGCACATTTCGGCCTTTTTTTGTGGCTCATAAACTGACAAACGAAGAAAAGTTTGGTTTTATTTTTAACCTGAGCATCTGCAGATTTATTCCATACCGGATATGTTATCACATACTAAATGTAGGCACGATACGAGATGAATAAATCAATTTTTGTTATCTTCCCCACCATCTTGAGTGAGATTCAACTCTTCATTGTTTGGGAGACGGAGATAAGCAAAAGTTTTGGACTTTCACAACCAAGTAAAATCCATCAACATGAATGTCTCATCGATGACCGGCATAAGTCTGATTAACTCCGACCTGTGACTCGGTGGTTTGCTCAGAGACACTTTGGCAGCCGTCCTGCTTCAAAAACAGCATCCCAACTGGGGTCAGTGGCTCGCAGCAGGAAAGCACCGTGGATTTCCAACAACCAACAAGCTTATCTTCCTCACTCCCTCTCTTTCTCTGAGGGAAACTTGTAGCTCTGACCTCCCGTCTTCCTGAGCACATCCTTCCTCTTACACCGATACACCGATACACAGACACAGACACACTTCTTTACCGTAATTTGCGGCAGACTCATATCCTTCCCCTGCCTTGAAAAGCTGCACATATTACTCGGAATAATAAACTACAAACACCTCGGCTCGGTGTCTGTTTTTCCCTCGCAAGAGGCTCAATGATTTCCTGGTATTGTTCTTTGTGATTTGGCTGCTTCTGATGTTGTGAATCACTTAATGGTCTTTGAAACCGAAGCATCAGCGGTTTTAATATTAATATGAAGATTACAAGGCCCGACCTCTGTCCTCCCTGTGGAACATTTCTTCCTCAAGATTCTTTAAGAGACATGTTGTTTTTTTAGTCGTCACTTTGGCTAAAAATCTCTAAAATTACTGTGAAATTTGGTTCACACATTCATCTTCCCCATATTATCACTTTGGTAACCCTCTGACTTTTTATTTAGCGCCACCAGCAAATCAAAATGTTCACTCGTCCTCTAAAATACCTCATCTACCTGATTGATTGGCACAACATTTTGTATGTTCATGTTCCCCAGAGGATGAATCCTACGGACTTTACTGAAGCACTATCTCTGAAACCATTAACACACGTAGCCAATGTATTTACTAGGTTTGCACGTTCTCCGCGTTACACTCACTTACACATTTTTTGCAAAACTGTAAACACAACTCAGTTTGCAATTTAATTGCACACTTCCAGCAAGAATGTTTTTTATTAATTAATTTGATTTGATAAGTGTGTGATGTTTGGAATACACATCCATACTTTACACATTTAAATACCTCTGTGCATGTGTGTTTACTACATGCACGACAAAACTATGTTGCAAACTGTTTTTTATTTGCCATCAGTGCGTAGTTGGTGCTTCATTCAAATTATCTTTTGTGTGTACAAAGAGTTAGAAGAGTTTTGCAAAAATTGTTTGCTTTTGCAAAACATTTGTAATGTTTTGGTATAAGGTTTTGCAGAAAATGGTTTGAAAGACGGCGCCTAAACAATGAGAAAATAAACCGTAATGAGGCCCCTTGATGGCTTTTCCCTCAAGCGCCACCATGAGGTTGACATTTGTGGTTTTAAGTTAAATGTCTTAACTATTAGATCACATTAGATGTTCCCCATCATGAAGAATTCTTAGCACTTCGGTGACCCCTTAACATTTGGCTGTGTGGAGCTCTTGGAAGAGTCCTGGTCGGTCCAAACGTCTGTGAGTTAAGAATTACAAAGGCCGCTGTGCTCTAGAAACATTTTTATAGCCTTCCCCAGATCTGTGGCTCGACACAATCCTGTCTCTGCAGAAAACCACGGCTCGGTGCGTGTCAGCTGTGAGTCCTTATATATAGTGTGTGCCTTTCCTAATCAGGTCCAATCAGTTGAATTAACAGCAGGTTGAATCCAATCAAGCTGGAGAAACAAGACGATCAAGAGAAATGAGAGGCATCAAAGGGTCTGAGTACCTAGGTCAATGTGACATTTCAGTTTTTTCCATTTTAATAGAAAACTAAATGTGAACGTACATTATTTTATGCTCTAAATTGTGAATGTTGCAGTAAAACTTCTACCGAAGTTTTTGTTGCATGTGAATATATACAACAGAGGTAAGAATGTACTGCTCAAGATTTATAAGAAAATCACCTTCAAATCACAGACAGGGTTCACCGAATTTATTTATGAACTTAAATTCAACACTTTCTCTAACAATATTCTGACGTGAAAAAAAAACGTAAAAAGCTTGACCTCTCCCTTTATTGCACATGCAATGCAAAAATACACAATATAAAAATAACAAACTGTAACACTGATTCAATATAAAAAATAAACACTATCAGAGAATTACGCACACACACACACACATACACACATTTAGCACTAAAAAGGGTTCAGGTTAGCACCTTATTTACCTGCAATAATGTGAACTTTAGCTTATTCTTTCATACAGTAACTCAGCCATCATTCCATCTGAAAGACGCTATTCTTTACCGCCTACGAGACATTTGAACGCAGCTTTGTAACTCTGGGATAACGTCACCTGATTGAAGTTTTCACTCAGCTCACACACAAACATTATAATACACAAAACTAACTGTACAACTCAACTTTCAGTCCAACATTAAAGATAAACTACATTCAGTTTACGGCTCATTTGACCTGAACGTCAGAGAAAAAGCTCCGTTCGGCAGCTTCACTCCGTTGGCCTCTTGTGTCCGACAGAATGTCTTTGATGGTGTTCCTGTTGGCTTTGGAGAGGTTGGTCTTGAGCTTGAGAAGAGCCGAGACGTGTTTCTCACTGTGGGCGAAAGAAGAAGGAGAAAAAGTTAAACATCAATGTTTTAATCCAGTCAATCTATTTATTCATTATTACAATCTCAGAGACACTTGAACATGATTGTAGAGCGAAGGTTGTTGCATTAGATACGGTGATCAATTAAGGTCAGGAAATGCAACTCATAATTTCATTGTTTCGAGGTTCATTTATTTACTCAAAAAAACTAAACTAAAAAAGTAAGTAGTACATGAATTTGCTTTCGGGGGAATGTAAACAACAGCAATAAAAACGACGGTGAGTTCTCTGGGCAGATAATATCGCCGGCATCTGAACAGTAAAAATATGACATCAGGGAAATATTGTCCATTAACTTTGACTTTGTTTTAGCACCAGACATAATCGATGCTACGCTATGATTGGCCAGTCTGCGTACGAGGGGCGGGACTTAGCAAAGGGTCAACTGCCTTGATCTCTTCCAGGCTCGTTGCCATTTTTGTGCCATTTATTTTGCCATCACTTATATCTGGCTCTGGCACAAGAATCTATCCTGCCTTCAAAACTATGTTCTGCTTCGTTGATTTCTTATTTATTTTTTGCTTTATCAGATCTAGACTCCTTATTTCACTGCAGCACTTTGGTGACACGATAATTGAATTGCTTTTAGCTCACGACATCAACATCTGAATACATTTCTTCTTCCTGTTGAGTGGGTTTGTTTATCCTCACTTTAGAGTCATGTAAACTACTATTCCGTCCTTGTAAGGTCTAAATAAGACAACGTCACTTATGAATGAGATATGCTGCATATATTGTGTGAGTGTGAGGGTTACCTTAGGTCAGGATATTTACTTCCCAGCGATGCTACTTGCATCTGAATGGCGGGGACGTCTTGGAGTTTCAGAACTTCTGCAATCTTGGTCAGGATGTCCTTCAACCAAACCTCCTCTGAGCCCTGTGAAGACAGAGCAGTTACAGCTCAGTCTAATCCATTCTGATCTAATCTAATCTTGTGTTTTGGGGAGGATTTTATCCGTTGTGGTCACTGTGGATTGTGCTCAATTTCTCACCATTTTGAGGAATAAATGGTACAAATTCTCCGCGTTGTCCCTCACGGTGACGTAGGCCTTCAGCTGCTGCTCCCTGGTCCTCAGTTTGACTCCTTTCAGGAGCCTCTTCACATATTCTGCTGTCACTTCCTTGTGCAGCTGGACCACCAGCTCCTGAAATTAATCCAAGCGTCCAATCAGAAATAGCTGGTTACAGCCTAAATGTAATTACTTTTAACTGGAATCAACACACGTGTCAAACTAAGAACGTTATCACTTGATATTATTGAATAACAGGGATTTTACATATCTAAGTCCATTCACTATTAACATTATAAATACGTCACTTAATGTCTGATTATTTTACAAACCAACCAGATTTTCAGAGTTTTGAATGCATTTTCCCTCACTTGCAGGCAGCCATTGGTTTCCATTCATTTCATCACAGTTTGAAAATCAGTGTAGACTGTAGAAACTGTCTTCAGTTGTTTAATCCATTAAAGTGAACAAAACTGATATTCGCACTGTGTGGAAATGAATAGAAACCAAAGGCTCCCTGTAAAAATAAATACATTCAAAACGTTGGAAAATGGTTGTCAGTGATATAAAGTCTACAATAGAACAGCAGCTTGTCCCCTTTAAATGAAATTGAAGTGTGTGTTTCATGCTTTCTTCAGTCTACCTGGTGACAGGATTCCATCGAACCCTGAAGATCCTGAAGCTCTTTTTCGATGCCGGCCAGCAGCTTCTCAAACAGGTTGTTATTCAGCCAGTCGCTGGTTCCCAGTTTGCGGTACTCTGGCTGTGTGAGGTACACACATGCAGCATTAGACAGCTGACACGTTCATGCTGTCACAGTTCTGCAAATAGCCCGATTGAGCTAGAATTCAATATAAAATGTCCCTTGCTCTAATTAACTGATATTTGTCTTTGTTGTCGATGTTTTTCTAGTATTATATTCAAGCATAAGACTAACCTTGGAAACATAACTGTTAAAAATAAGGATTTTGTGCGAACCTTGTTTATTCTATTCAGTTGTCTTGTCTTACAATCCTGTCTGGTTGATATTTTGTTCTAAACACTTTTATTGTGGAGAGGTTTATGACCTTTGTTTTGAAAAATGACATATGAAAAATAGATTTTCCGTCAGTCACCCCAAGCCCATTGGTTCCTGTTGAAGGCAGACATCTTTACTAACAACCTCAAAGTGTGTTGTTTCATATTTTAAAAAGGCTTTTTTTTTAAATAGACCATTTGTTGGGGACTATTTTCAGCGGCGGATTAATCCACATTTGACGCTCTAGTGAGTATTTGTGGCTTTAATACACATGATACATGTAAGTAGTTACAATAATTAGTGTTTTGAGTCTGTTCATGAGATTTGTTGAGAGCTTTGTTGTAAATAATCTCACCTTGAGGACCTCGTGCACAGGTTTTAATAAATATGCGTGGGCAGATTGTTTCATGTCGGTCAGAACATGCAGACAGTTTTTCCGCACGTCCTCTATGAACAGATGTCTCTTCTTGTTGAGGACGTCCCTGCAGACAAACCACACATTAGCTCACAGAGATATTTATTAGTGTCGATCTTAATAAAGCCAGACACCTGTCTCGTCTCGCCACACAGCGCCCAAATGTCAGAGACGTACCTGAACTGTTCGATACAGCCGAGGTTTGCCTTCACGGCCGGCCGGCTGTTCAGTTTGTTTTGCTTTATGACGTCATTTTGGAAGATCTTGAACCTGCAGGAGTTAAATTACAATTGATTTTCAAGACAATATGTCTTTTAAAAAGACCATATTCTGGAGAAAGCCTTCAGTCTTGTTACCTCTGCATTAAATCCTTCAGTTGGCACGTTATCTCCTGGGCCTTCTGCAGATCTCCCACAACTTTTTCAGCTGAAGTCACCATACCATTGATAAACTGGAGGATACAGATCAATGACAGCATTAAAAAAACACTGTGAACTACTGAGACTTTACACAGTCATGTACTTCCAGCATTTTCCCAAATAGTCCAAAGTAACACAAGAAACTGAACCCCAAACTCTGGCAGCTTTAGTGCCTTGTTCCACTTTCTATAAATGTTTCCCTTGTTGGTGAATCTTTTTCTCAACATTTGCACTCGATCTTAGTTAATATGTGAAACAGCCTGGAAATTATTGTTTGGGGAAATACCCTGATGTCTTCTCCTGGTCCAAACATTATGTTTTACATGTTGCTCTGTCACGATAACAAGAAGCTTGTTTCATGAACATGAGAACAGATGGTCCAAGCCTTTTTGCAGATTAACATTTTATAGCAAAACAAAAGCTTTTATATTGAGATTGTGACCAAAAGAAAAGTCATGAAAATATGTCGAGGCTTTGATTTTGGTCAAAAAGGTTGTGAGCACAACATCAACATATCATCACATCTTTAAGTTGACATCCAGCTGTTAGTGAGAAACATGATCTGATGTTTGTGACCAATATTCCCTCTCTTTCAGCTCTGTCTTTGGTCTCCTCCACCTCCTGAGGGGAACATCTGGGTCTTATAGCCGCTTTAACATCTTGTTGTCTTGTTGTACCTGAATGATGTCGTAGGAAACAGGACTGACGAAGCAGCCGTCCTCTCTTGTCGGCTCTTCTCCTTCATTCCACTTTTGCTTCGCTTTCTCGAGGACGCGGTGGATGTACGTCGTCAGATCTTCCTGAAGGCACAACAACGTGCTGCTTTATAACAAACCTACTGATGATTTAGCTAATCATAGCGCCGTGAACAGCAGGAACAGCTTAAAATGCAAATATAAAAATGTCATAAGGTCGGTAAAATGAAAAGGGAATTTTATCTGGAGCACACAAACAATCTCAGCAATCTACCCTTCAGATGTCTTGTTTGACTAATAAATATGGCCTCGTGCTGATTGAGATGAAGTCAAGAGGTACTCAAGGACATTCATTCACGTGGGACCATGATGATCCACAGCATCTCTGTCTGGACCTACTGCTTGTGTCGGCCGTATTGATTTACTGACAGACACGGGGATTGTTAGACTGCTGCTTGTGTACAAACACCGAAACTAGACCTGAAACTAAATAAAAGTATTTACCAAACCAAAGTAAAACAGCTCAACATGACTGAACTCTAATACACGCCCAATAGCAGCAGGTCAGGTTACCTGTTGTTTGCTCAGGTATTGATCCTCCAGAGGTTTCAATAACTCTTCCGGCAGCAGCTTTCCCAACGCTTCAACATCGATCTCACCGACCAGCTCCGGCTTCTGAAGGATTCTGTCACAGAGAGAACGGACAACAACTTTCATCAGGTACATTTTACGCATCAAGATCATGGTTTCATATGAATTTTGCAAAAATCCTTATATCAGAGGCATATTTTTATACTTCAGGAGGACAGGCAGCAACTTGTTTTCAACAAAAGACATGAGTGACTGTAAACTGTAAAAAACGAACCTAATCTGTTTTTTGAATGCTTTGCATTCTGGTGTATTTTGTAATGAACAGCGGGTGCAGACCTGCAGGATTTGTATCACCTCTGCAAAGTATTTCTACACAGTTACACAACTTTAGGGCGAACTGGTCTTTTCCAATATCAACCAGGAGCAGCTGAGGGGGAAAGTGGTGCTTCCTCATTTAGCTCACTGATTTCACATGATAAAATCACGAAGGACAGATTAAAATGACGGATGAGGAGACGGTAAAAGAAAGTTCTAGCTGAGAAATGTTGTGTGCGTTTTCTGAATACCATCACGTTACCTTCACCGGGCATTCAAGCCAAGAGAAAACGTCGAATTCACCTCCGCTACACTAGTCCTCAACCGAAAACGTTTACTTGAAAAGCTTTCAACTGGTTGTGACCACTTCGACCAAAGACCGACTTCCTTTGTTTTGTTTGAAATTATCTTGTGATTCACAAAAAAACTCTAAAATGTTCATTCCACTGCATAATATGAAAAAAGACAAAACACTATTACTAGATATGTCTTAAAGGGGTTGAGCAAATTTCATGGCAATCTGCTCATTAGATTGTAATATGTCTTTAGTACATATGGAAGTTGTGGCCCTATAATAAAACATTAGTATTTCTAAGATTAAAAAGTACAATATTTGCCTCCAAAATGTAATGTAAGTAGAAGTATAATAGCACAGTCAAGAAGAGCACAAGTGCCCCAAATATGTACTTAAGTACAGTATTTGAGTGAATGCACTTGATTACAGTTCAAAACTTGGTCTGCTACTACCAAAACAAAAATACACCAACATGATGACAGAATGGACCCAGAAATATAAGTACTTCATGACTTACTGTGGATAATGCTTGTTGACCCAGAGCAGAAGACAAGTGCAGTCCTTGTCCCCCAGACCGAAGTCTGTGATCTTTCTGAGTCTGGCGCTGAAGGTTCGGTGGTACAACCCGGCGTAAAAATCACAGATGCCCGACTCGGGCGGGTAGCAGCTCTTCACCACGTTCACCACATGCAGCAGGTCCTCCTTCAGCTGCCCGCCCATGGTGCGGATGTCCACCTGGATGGAAGACTGGCCCGTCTGGTCAGCAGGGGGCGTGGAGGGGTTGTCCATACGCTCCTCCACCAAGCTGCGAAGCGTTGAGTCGTGGAGCATCTTCCAGCCGCAGGGCCTCCACGCAGGAGCAGTCCAATCCCTCCGTGTCCACTGCTGGTCCTGGTCCTCCTCCTGCTGCACGGCCTTCACGGCAGACGTCAGTGCCTCCGAGCCGACCTCCTCCAGGCCCAGAGACAGTATCAGGGTCTGCAGTACGAGGCCCTCCAGGGCCCTGCGCTCTGCTGCAAGCTTGCTTACTTCTTCCTCGTGATGTTTCAGCGCCTCAGACTCCTTTATCTCCCCAAACAGACGCTCCTCTCTTTCCAGCAGCTGCTGGCCGGCTTCACACAAGCGTTTTGCCTCAAGGTTCTGCTCAAATGTGAGGATCACTGAGGAGGAAAGCAAAGACCTCTTTTTGAAATGTTGTTTATGATAAAATGAGGCATCTGGACGTCCTATAACGGCTAGAAGAAAACAGATCACATTTAGGACTGCAGACCCGCTTAGCCTACACTCGTAAACCCAATCATTCAATATCATTATGGTAATGTGGTAGCTTTATCATCTAGTTAAGTCAGGAACTTGAGTGTACAATGTCTTTCTTGCTGCTTTACAATAGTATTTATTTATAAAATTCACAGTGAACTTGAATTTAGAGCTGAAACAAGTTGTATTCTATAATAGTAAATAGACTTCACTTTGGGATTTAGCCTATTTGAGCATTTTGAGATTAGACTATGACAAGAAACAACATCTTGTATTGATAAACAAATATGTTTTATTGCATAATATTATATATTATTGGATTATAAGTATTGCTGCATTAACGTGTTCCTTGCTTTAATGTTGCAGCTGGTAAAGTTGGAGCCAATTTCAGTTTATTTTTATATATGTGTGTGTGTGTGTATATATATATATATATATATATATATATATAATATATACTACCTTTACTTACTGCTGGATAGCTTGTGAATTTCCGCTAAAGTAAAGTAAAGTAAAGTAAAAAATAAATATTTTTTGGGAGTACAGCATAAAATGGAAAAACTCAGGTAAAGTACTGTACAAATATATTTAAATAATAAGTACAGTTGTAAATCCACTTTCATTCCACAACTGTGTGTAACTGTAATATTCCTGCAGTAATCCATTCTGAAATCTTACTGTGTGTACCAGGTTGTATAAGTTTAAGTAATTACAGATGCTGGTGTGGTGATGTTTATCTGAACTGACCGGTTGGGGGCCTCTCCTCCTCGGTGGGTGATGGATGTCCATCGGTCGTGGAGGTGTTGTTGACACCGGGCGGAGCTCTGGGGGTCCGCCATAATTTAAACCTTTGTGGGAAAATGTTCAGCCTGAAGCCGTCTGTCTCGGTCATCGTTATCCGGGAGAGAATCGGGTATCGACGGTCTGAGAAGTGCTCTGATGAATCTATGTGGAGACAAAAATATATATGTGTATGATATTAGCATTAGCTAGGTGTTATTTTCAAAATAAAAGCACAATAAGCACATTTTTGTTGTTTGAGAAGTATCAAGGAATGTTTTTTTTTTTTTTTTTTTTTTTTAAATCTGAACGTATATGAATAAAACCACAAAATACAACTAAATTAACTTAACCACCTTGTGTCCAGTGGAACCATATCATCTTTATCCCCATCACAGTTTATATCTCCAAAAACCCCTCTACCCTATTTTATGAATACTACAAACAAAAGTACATAAAAATATCACAGAACAAAAAAGCAGAAGGTGCAAATAGCCACATGAAAAAAGAACGAGAAATGGAAATAACAGTAAATAAAAACACAAACTTTCAATGATAACACTCACTTTTCAGCTTCATTATGAATAACTAATCCTAGAGATCATAAACACAACTTTTAAAATCAAACTGAACAAATAAGCAAAGGCTCAACCTATCCCACATGGCATATTTAACAGCTATTGTAATGTAAAGAAAATTTCTCAGAAACATTCCATCGACCGGTCCAGCCATGCAGATACATATCTGTAGTGAAGTATTCTAGTTAAACCTCTTCAGCAGCTTTTACTCACCCTGATCTCACAGTTCCTGCTCTGTTAGTAACTGCACACAGCTGCTGGAGCGTAATTTACACAGCAGCAAGCTCCGCCTGCATTTCATGATGTAAATGCCTCCAGGGCAGTGGAAAGTCCACACACACACACACGCGCACACGCGCACACACACACGCGCCCGCATGCACGCACACACACAAACACACAAACACAGAGAAGCTGGACTTTGTTTCAGACACACTAAGCACTGAGGAAATGCTGGCAAATCGTCTGTGGTTAAGAGTGAACTATCTCAACAACTATTTCACCAGTTCTTGAAGACATTAACAGACCCAAGTGGATGAATCCTACAGACTTTGGTGATCCCCTTACTTTTCCTCTAGCGCCACCAACAGATCAAACATATAATCTGTCCTGCACCAATTAGTTTCCCCCCAAAAGTAATAGTGATCTCTTACTTAATAGCCATCTCTACCTTCAGTTACAACATGGCGGTGCAAAATGGCGAACTCCATGGAAGACGACCCGCTCTCTAGATATAAATAACGATTACTAGTTTCCTTTAAAGGAATGTAGCGTTTCAGGGGATCTATTGGCAGAAATGGAATATGATATGAGTCATTATGTTTTCTTCAGTGAACAATCACCTGAAAATAAGAATTGTTGTGTTTTTGTTATCTTAGCATAATCCTTTTATATCTACATTTGGAGCGGGTAATATTCACAGAGCCGGCCGCGATGTTTCTACAGTAGCCCAGAGTGGCAAACCAAACGCTGGGTCTAAAGAGGGTCATTCGCATTTTTGCGTCGGCCACTGTCGTCCTCCTCCATGCTAGTCACACGGAAGAAGTCTCAGTTGGTTTCAATCTGCAACTTCACTGCTAGATGCCGGTAGAACCTACACTCTGCAAGGCTGGATGACACCACAATCATCCGCCGTATTTCAAACGGTGATCAACAGAAATGAACAATCTTGCAGGGTGGCGCTCAGCAAACAACGTACTGGTCAACGTCATCACAAACCAAGGAGCTGATTGTAGATTCTAGGAAAGGAGGAGACGAGGACACACACTTCTCTCTGCCGGAGGGCTCTACAGCGAGGGATTAAAACTGCCCTGAACATCATTGCATGAACAGAGCGTCAGTGATATTGGTGACAAGAGGTGCCTGCGTAGAGCCCAAAAGATATTAAAACACAATACCCATCCAGCCTGTCCACCTAAGACACATTATGTCAAACTCAAGGCCCGCGGGCAGAATCCGGCCCGCCACGTCATTTTATGTGGGCCGCATATCCGCCAGCAAAATAATTAAAATAAATTACAAAAAAAAAATTGAAATAGATGAAAACTTAGATTTGAAAATATAAAAATCCTCATGGTCGAAATTATGAGATAGAAAGTCATAATTATGAGGTAAAAGTCGAAATGATGAGATACTTAAACACAACAGTCACAGAAGCAGCTCTTCATAGGTTACATGGATTGAGTACATTGAAGACTTCTTTAAACGTGGCTTCACAACAGATGAAATACTTCAATTACTTGCTGAAAAAGAGACCAGAAACCAGAGTAGCAACACAAATTACAAACAAAACTAAACAAATAAACCATCCCGACGTTTGTGTCCAAGCTTTAGAAACAAACGTAGTCCATTTATAAGCTTTAACATTATGTTCCAACACCACATCAAACTGCTCAATATAGTAACAGCTGAACCTGTTGGTGACTTTAATAACCTGGATGCTGAGCTGTTACCAGCTTTTCTTACCTTCTGCTTTGCAGGATCTGCCGGGAAAACAGCAGCAGAGTTTGGAACACATCCCTCCTGAAGGCTCACAGGTGTTCTTACTGTTCCTGTGTCTCTGCAGCAGGTCGCTTCAACACTGAACCCACAAAAAGATGCAAGTAACATTTAAGGCCAGGAAGCCACGCATTGAGAAAGTGCACTCCTTCTATTTCTACACCATATGCACATTTCCTCTGAGAGCTCACGTATGAAGTGAGAATCAATGCATGAGTGGATTCAAAGCGAGGTGTTTGAAATGTGTCTCACACTGTGGGTTAGATGTTGTTTTACAGGAAACACCTTGCATTGATTCATAAATACAGGAACATCATTGAACCAAAAAACATTTACTCTTTTATTATCCGCCACAAATCAGGTATACCTGTGTCCGGTCCAGGTACACATCAATAATACTTTTACAACAAACTTTCACTGTTCAAAGGATCTCACAGAGTAGTTCTTAGACACTGACCTCAAACACTTCAAATTAGTTTTCACTTCCTTAGAAAACAGAGAAGTCCAAAAGAGTGATTGGGTTTAAATTTGTTACCTCTGCTCAGGCCACGGGAACTCCTATTTTGAATTATGTTCAAATAAAGCAACACCTCACGCAGTACAAACACACGCTTACTTACTTAAACACGTGCAAAATACGTAACTCAAAGTAATAGTTTGTATATCGGAGAATGAAATGAGAGGAATCCACTTTCGGAGACTTGATCGCCAAAAGATTGTTCCAACGCTTTCACTTTGAAGGATATGAAGTTGAACTAATCCTGGCTCCATATCTTAGGTGCACTGAAGACTGAACTGTTGACTGCTTAACTAAAATAAGTTAAATATTATCTTTAAGAAAAAACAATCATAAAACAGTTTGACTCACTGTTTGCATATTTAGTTTTTATTAGCAGTGTCTTTTTTTTACAAATTACAACAAAGTCACTGTTGCCCACCGTCTGTCAGCTTAACAACACAGACAGACCGTGTGTGTGTGTGTGTGTGTGTGTGTGTGTCACCCACACACCTGGACCACCAGAGTGTGTTTCTTTCTCTGTGGGTGTCATAAATCAAACATCGTAATTTTCATTCTGCAAATCTGAGTTGTTTAAATCCGCAGAAATAGTTTGATTCAGAGATTTAAAATCTGTGTTTTTTGTTGAGACGTTCTGTATCTGTTCTGGAGCTTTTGGTTGTATCACATGATCATCATCACCAGAAGTCATGGAACTGACAATTTAGACTTTTTCATTTCTCCTTTCTGTCCCTGAAGCTCTGTGAGGCTGTACTTGAGCTACATGCTACCATTAGCATGCTACCATGCTTACAGTGATAACGCTAGCATGTTGATGTTTGTACGGTATAATGTTTATCTTGTTCATGGCGTTAGTTTAGCATGTCAGCATGGAAACATTTGCTAACTAGCACTACAAAAAGTAATAAGTATCTAACAACATGAAATTTTGACCAGAGCGCTAGAGGGAAGGTCAGGAGATCACCAAAGTCAGTCGGGTTCATCCTCTGGGGAACATGAATGTTACATGTTGCATTTCATGGCAATCCATCCGATAGTTGTTGAGTTTTTTCAGTTTTCTTTCTCAACCGAACGGAGTTCAAACTATGAGTGTTTACTTTAAACATTAAATAACTAAATAAAGATTTATTTGTATTAGAAGACTAATGTGGACATCCTCGTGTTTACATTTGGATCGCACGGATTGCAAATTTATCAGAAAATGATTTAAAAGAAGAAGAGGAAGTGTTTTGATGTTTTTCTGTCAAAAACAACCTTTTTACTTAAAAGATTTTTTTCGTCATTATTTCTTTCCACAATTGCACAACGAACGTCTAGAACGTGTAGAACGTCTAGGCACGGAAACGTTTTGCAAAACATGAGCCAAAGGAAAAGTGAAAGTATCCGAACTGTTGCTGTTCAGACTTGCATCAGCACTGAAAATAAAACACAGTAAGAAGCCGACACCACAGCGACCACAGGTACAGAGACGGAACTTTTAGAAAACAGAGCATTTACAGGAAACCAGATGTTTTCAGTTTTACCTCCATGAAGCGTGAGACTTAAAAGTCCACTGAAGACTCGAACCTTCCTCACATCATCATGTTCATCATCATCACATCATGTTTTCTAGATTGACTGACACTCTTCTAATGATGTGTGCTCTTCTTCTGCAATAGTTTAAGGTCACCTGACTGGAGAATTATTGCCAATAACTGTTAATCTCAAAGTGTAAAACTCATATTCTCAGAACAGTAATTTACATGGACTAGTGGGATTATGTCGGTGCTGCTGTTGGCCTGTCTAACACCTGTGCAGGTGCATCATGGGTATGCATGGGGCTTTAAAGAAGACATGTCTTTCATTCTAACCAAAAGCTTGGATTTAGAAATGGAGGTGCAGTTTTAAACTAAGTCTTTCTGGATGAGACTCTGATGGAGAAAATGTGATCTGATTGAAGTGTTATCTTTTCTGTTCATGTAAAATAATGTGTTTAACAGTCAAACGTCCTTCTTTGTTTTTACAGCAGTATAAAGTGTCCACTCAGACCATGTTTCCTCCATCAGAGTCTCTTCCAGAAACCCTGAACAGTCTTCAACAGCGGAGAAGAAACAAAGTCCTCCCACCAGCTTCCTGCTCTGAAGGAAACATGTGAACTCTTCATCGTGGGCAGCGACACCAAACTGTTCACAAACACATTTCTCAAGTCACCAACTAAAGAAACGACCCCTGAAAGTAAAGTCTTGGTTTGTTCTGGATGTTTCTCAGGCTCTCATGTCTGGAGACGAGCTCTTTGACTGCTGGTGAAGGATCCTTCCAGGACTTTGGGAAACACCCACGTCCTCTGAGAGGAGCTCTGATCAGCTAACAGGAAGTGAAAACACCTGTGTGGGTCTTTCCAGGTCCTGCACACCCACATGCTTTCTGAAAGGTGTATTTTAACAAGTTATATGTTTTAAATGCATAATCTAAAAGACAACTTTAAGCATGTCTTCCCCTTTAATTGAATGTAGTCAATCTGAGGGGCAACAATTAAACAATTCTTCCATCTGAGTGGAGTATTTATCTTGTTTAAAGAATAATAATTTATCTTTAAACATTCTTCCAGATGTTTTATTGATGTCTGATTAATAAATATCTTGAGCAGAACTATGCTAAGAACTAAACTGTATCTCTGAACTCTTATGTTCTGCTCAAACTAACAGAAGAGTGGGAGGAGCTCTAATCAGAGGAAGTGAAAACACCTGTTTGTGTCGTTGCAGGTGTTCAGTTATTCTGGCTGATTAAACATCTGCAGTTCAAGTTAAAGAAAAGAAAAAAATAGAAATACATATGTGTGCAGCTGTATTGTTTGTGTCAAACGCTACAATTAAAGTTTTTATTATCAATAAAAGATAAGTGAATGAGTGGACTTCAGACAGCTGGAGTCATGAGACTATTTGTTTCATATGTTTTATTAAGAAAAGGATTAAATAAGTATGACACATCATTTCTATATAATCCCTCTGGCGCCCTTCACACTATTTCATATTTAAACTTCTATAATTGTCGGGATTTTGGTTCCTAAAACAGTCACAAAATGTTAAAAAAACCTAATTCAAACCATCCTGAGACACTAAACTCTTCACTTCAATCATAAACAATCATAAATACATAAACTACTTACAAACACAAGAAAACAGAATTATGATCAAATGAAGACATGAAATGTGCAAAGAAGATCACATGAAGCTTGTTTTTCTACCATCTGAGATCACACAGGTTAACCTGACATCAGAAAGTCTACATGAGAACTCACATTTCACTACAGAAAACCCTCATAAATAAGTCTGAAAGGCAGTTTGGAGGGCTCACACACACACACACACACACATAAATAGTCTCGTACCGTTCACTAGGTTCAGTTCCTCACTCAGCAAAGAGCTTCTGACAGTTTCTATCAATAGATCTGACACTTTAAACTCAAATTAAGGTCCAACAGCCTTTAAAGAAGACGCATTTTGCACCAAAAGTATAATTCCACAGCAGAATATTGTTCCTTCTGAAACCTGCCTTTAATTTGTTACGTCTGCTGAGAGCTTCACACACGCATGAAATTGATGAATTGGACTTTTATCAGGAATAGTTGGTGAAAAGTTTTTCTTCCCAGGAAAGAAAATCCTGACGTTCCTCACAACGCTGCATCACTCTTATTGCGTAACACACTGCATTCGTGCACGTTTAATATGTTATTAAGTGGTAACACACGAGGCTTTTCTACATCTGCCAGCGAGTTTGAGGAGACATCAAATATTTGCTGTTAGAAGAACAGAAGTTCACTCGTCTGTTGGGCCACAGAATGAACTGTAATATGTGTAAAAACAGTCAACGTGTGTTATTAAATCATTCTAACTTCATTTAAACTTTATTTAAAGGACAGTGCTGGTCTGACGCTGTATGAAAGACCAAAACAATGCGTGAGTCCTTCTCTCCATTCTTCTCTGTGGCAAAGATAAATATGTAAAAACAAATATATGGTTTGATTTTTTAAAAGCTCTCAGTCATTTTCAAAAACAAGTGCTCACTTTAGTTTTTAATCAAACAAACCAGCAGGAAGTAGTGCATTTGTTGGGGACTATTTTCAGCGGCGGATTAATCCACATTTTGTGGTTTAGTAAGTCTCATACTTTTCTTTTTGTGTCCGATTCAACAAACTTTCTCAACCGGACCGACGTCTTGTTTCAGCCTCATGAATATCAGTTTATTATGTTTATTATAAAGCTACCGGCTCCTCTCTGTGTGTGAGCAGGTTTCATTCATTTCTACCAGTTAAAACTGAAATCATCAATTTCTCCTTGTGTTTGAGAACGTGCGTACATTTAGAGCCTCTTCTTACTCAGCGAGCACCAACTAACTCTCAGTGGTAGACGTGTGTGATGAAGGGAAACCGATTCCTAAATAATAGACACACAATACAACTTCAATGTCGACCGTGTAACAACGGAGAGATTGAGAACGATCGGTCCTGAAAAACATGAACTGCTTTTTCTGTGCAAAAAGGTGCAGTTTAGTTTAGTGTTTGAGAGCACAGGACCTTAACTTATGTGTCAGACCACCTTAAATAACACAGCTCTACCTTTAACTCCATGGCGCACTAGTTGTCGGGCAGCAGGAAGCTGAGGCAGGAGAAAGGCAGATTGGAGAGGCAGTCTGTGTTGACGGTGACATGCATGTCGCCAAATAAAACCCGGCTCCTGTCGCCGCCGCCGCCGCCCAGTTTCTCCTTCAGCTCCGTGTGACGCTGGAGGATCAGCTGGTGCTCACGGCCTCTCAGCAGGCCTCTGAAATACAGGACAGCTACCAGGTGCTTCCTGCTGCAGGCGGAGAAGAAAGAAAACACAGAGACATATTTTAAGGATCATCAGTGCATTGGATGTCAAAAGAAGTAAAGTAACCTGTGAGTGATTGTAGGAGGAGAGTCTTTGTGAAGCTCAGGAGTTCAGAGTTTGTTGTCAAGTTTCCTTCAGAGCAGGAAGCTGGTTGGAGGACTTTGTTTCTCCTCCGCTGTTGAAGACTGTTCAGAGTTTCTGGAAGAGACTCTGATGGAGGAAACATGGTCTGAGTGGAGCTTGTGTCGTGTACTAAGAATAAAATCAGATTTTATCTGTAAGGTTTCTGCTTCCTTTCCATGGGAGATTTGGGGGAATGGCATTTAAGTTTAATTATATATTATAAACAATAAAAGAGCTTTGAATTAACAGAGCAGTGAAATGATCTGAATGAATTGCAGAGATCTCAGCTCATCATCACCACTTCATTACTTAGTTTATCTGCTTGTTTGGTTGACTCATCCTCTCACATGTCACATGTTTGGTGAAATGCCACTCAGCTCACAAACACGTGATTTATGAGCAACATAATCTCAGGAGTTAATACAGCACGTGTTATGTGTAAACAGTTCATTGGGGTTAAAGGTTAAAGTAAGTAAACATACTTTCTGCTTCATTTCATTCATCTACTAGTTCATCATCACTTCCTCATTCTTCTGGTTACTGAAGCCAACTCGTCTGTTGAGTCTTTTAATTAAACAACGAGGGGATTCCTGCAGAGGTCAGCTGACCTCTCCGAGTAAATAGAAGCATCGTCGTCTACCACTTCCACAATTACAACGAGTGGAAACTCTGATGCTTTTTAAGCATTTCAAGTAGAAATTAAAACCAGGAAGTAGGTTAAATGTCTTCACTCTGGCTTTTTTTTGTGTTGAAGTGAGTTGACTTTGAGTATTTTAAGGCAACAAAACCGCTGCTTTTCAACAGAGACGTGTCACAGCGCTTTGGGAACCTGCGTTTATGTTTCACTTTCACAAACCGGTTTATAAGAAACGTCTGGGGGTCACCTGGAGGGTCATCCTCATCATCCTCATGGTGAAGGATGACCCTCAAGCTTCTGGATTGGCTAGTTGAACATAAATATGTTTAAACTACAGATTAAAAAAAAGGCCAAATCTTATGTTTCCCTCCATGTGGCACATATCTGGTTTGTACTGACAAAAACATCACTTGTCATCTAACATTTCCTGAACATCACACCAGCTGTGATTGGACGAGAGGCGGGTACAACCTGGACAGGTCGCCAGTCAATCACACGACCGAGTGCACAACTCTCGTTTGAACATTGAATTAAAACAGCATCGCAACGTGTGGCTGCTGCTTGTTCGGTTGTCAGAATCGACTTTCCATCGAGTTCTATAGAAGTCACACAGGAACACGACCGTTTCAGAGCGACAGGTGTTTCAGATTAACGAGAGACCGTGTTAACTGGTGACTTTCTGCAGAATGCGTCTTTTCTATTCACGTGACTTTTCTTGGATCGATTTAGTTTTCCTCCTGCAGTGAGTTCGGCTGGTGAGTCGTGCAGAATGAGTCAGCGAGTTCTTGGAATCGCTCACCTGAAGTCGGGGTAATGCTCCACTAAAGGCTGCAGATGGTTCTTTATGTCGCTCTTGTTTTTCTGCACGATGACGTTGCTCAGGTCGTCTCCCACAGCGTAGAGCCACTCGTGAGTCGACTTCTACCACAGAAACAATAACAAACATTAACAAATAACATTTCTTTTGGTGAAGTATCCGGTAATTTTACTAATCTGGTGCACGGAAATACCCAAGTAAATTGTACTTAAGTCCAATACATGAGTAAATATTCTGGAAAGTTTCAAACTTTTACATTAAAAGTGTTTTGATGAACTCTTTGCTATTTTCTTTCCCCGTATTGACCTGCAGGTCAAACAGATACACGCTGAAGAGGAAGTTAAAGACTTCATTACCATGTTCTCAAACAGATCACTGAGCTTCTCCCACTGCAGGCGCATCTTGCTCGCTGCCTTCTCGTGTTTCCGGTTCTTGCACGAGTAGTTGTTCTTCATCAGCTGGCCGACGTATTCCCTCACCACGTGGTAGTGCAGTCGGCTCGCAAACTCCTGTTGCCGGGAAACACAAACACACAGAGAGAGAGAGGGGGGGAAATAACAGGATGGGCACAGAAGAGAAAAGAGGAAATGTGAGTGTGGTTCTCTTTATGTGTCCGTCACACGACCAGCAGCCATCAGATCAGCTGAACTTCCACCTCCGCTTCCACCTATTCATTCCTGACTGTGTTTCAGCGTTTATTCGGTCTCGCTTTCATGCATCCTGCAGTCACAGCATCCGGCCCAAAACAATGGCGCCCAATTTGATTCACTGGAACTTCCAAGAAGGTCATAAACAGCAAACATGGATTTCCTCTGCTAACCCTCAAAGCGATTACTTAGTGTGAAAAGCTTTATTTGTAGCTCAGCTTCTGCCTCCCTTTAATCCTAAAAACAAACATTGCTGCCAAAGCTAACACTCATTGTTTGACCCGGTTAGTTCCCGGTTAGATATCAGTCTGGTTTGTCCAATCAGGATGGGACAAATGCCAGTAAATATTTGGCTCGAACTGGGAACTTTCTCGTATCATACCCGACACTTTGGCAGGTAACCAATCGTTATTAAGAGGCGGGGGTCTTTCCTCACAGGAAGATAAAGCGGTTGGTAAATACTGGAAATTCCTCTGATGGCTTCTTCCAGCTCGTTTCCTCCTCCTCCTCCTCCTCCTCCTCTTCCTCCTCCTCCTCCTCACCTGATTATGCGGCGGCCTCATCAGAGCGCAGTGCTGAGACAGCAGCTCTGTCCGACTGTGAAGCTGCCCAAAGTCTTCATCGTTGGTGAGCCACTTCCTCGTCATCATCCTCCTCAGGTACGGCTGGAAAAACAGCACAGGAAGTAGGTTCAAAGTGACAATGAAGTGAAGTGTTGTTCTCCACAGGATGGATCGGTGCTTTCATCTGCTCACATCTTCTCAAGAAGTGACTTCAGGGATTTTAACAAGTCCTCTGAATTAAATGACAAAAATACGTCGTTTGTAAGTGTCCTTTAGAACGACACATATCCGACCCCCACAAATCACTGAAAAATAAATCTGATGCAACATCGCTCTGTGATCGATATGTTAAAGATAACAATGCCACAGAGCTTCATAGTGATTTTCAGCTCATTGTCATTTTTATGCATTTTCCTACGAAAGTGCAGCAACACTTGTCATTTTCACTTGTTACATGCACACAGTCTTTATAAAATAAACTTTCGTCTTTACAGGTTTAGACAATAAAACCACCTCGTTAGGTTTAGGAAAAGATGGTCGTTAAAATAACAACAGAAGTGCTGTTACACAAGTACACAATTTGGCTGAAATATCGCTTGTTTGTTGGATTCATCCACCTCCAAATGTGTGCTTTTGAGATCTTTATACTTCTTCGTTCAGGGTAACATGAGAAATTACTTTATATCTACGAATTACACCTCCTGTGGTCGTATGAGAAGAAGGCTGTTGCTGCTCAGAACTACAGGTGGAAGTAGTGTGATGGAGGTAAAGCAACACAAAACCTCTCGGGGAGGTCAGAGGGGAGGATTGGACATGAAGGAAAACTCTTGTTTGTGTCTGGTTTCCTGCAAACAATCACTGTTGGTTTTATTAACGACTATAAACTTAGTGAAGTAGTTTCTGCAACTAAACTTAAACAAACCTCTAAGCATAGTAGTGGCAGATCACAGATCAGCAGTTACATTATGTCCTGCTGTTCGTTGACCTGTTTTGTTGTGAGATAATAAATCCACCTCTGAATGACTTCCCTTCCTCCTTTGTGATCTTTTACAGAAAGTGACTCGCCCGAACGAATCTCTGCATTGAGTTTGAATGAGAGGTTCAGGAAAAGAGCAATCCTTTTTCAATTCCCCTTTAAGAAAACTGCAACAGCTCTCTGAGTGAGGAATAAATGGATGAAAACCAGAACTGGGCTTTCACCTAAAATACCGCTGATTTCATTCGCGTGATTGTACCTTGACGTCGTCTTTGAACTGGTCCTCCAGCACCTGGTTGAGCCTGATAATCAGCGACGTCGCCTCTTGTCTGAACCCGTCCACCTCGTCTGGACACGAGTCCCGGTACTCCTCCATGTGCTGCCTGCAGGAGCACAAAAAGAAAAGAAAGATTTCTCTTGGATACTTTAATTTAAATAACTATCTGAAAAAGTAGAAAACTCAAAAGAACACGCCTTTTTTCTTCTTCTTTCCTCCATTAATCATCTCATGACCCAACAGATGTATCTGGTGACCCTTTGGAGGGTTCCCTCGGTTGGGAACCTGATATGTCATAATAAAGCACTTTTACTTTTGATGCGTTCAGTACATTTACAGATGCAGACACCTTGAATTTCCCTGCCAAGCCAACTTCCAGCCAAGTACCCTATACGGGGAGCACCTTTATTTTAAAGAGTGTAGGCCCTATCATGAAGGAGGGGGAATTCTGTAGCTCATCATACTTTCACATAAGTACTTTTACACTGTTGTATTAGTACTTCTACTGAAGTAAAGAATCTGAATTTCTTCCACCAGTTTGTCATGAAGACTGAAGCATTTTTCAACATATTTTCACACCACTAGCAAAGTTGTGACCCTAAACCGTAAGCCATGAGGCGAATTAAATATAATAAAATTTGATAAACAAACACATGAAGCCACGTTTTATGAAAGTACGTTACAACTAATGCAGTTATTTAGAGGTCTTGCACATAAATTCCTTTCACATTGGTCTTTAATTCAGGAGCTTTTTTATTGATCTTTTTGTAAATGTCTACAGGACTGAGACCCAGAGGATGGAGAGCAATGGTGTTAGAGGTGAAGTACTCGACCACAGACTCCCCTGAACCTCGAAAAGCTCAGCAGCAGAACAGAACGCAGACATGAGATCTGCAGCTATAAACACACACCGCTCTCGACACATGAGGACGTCCTCAAATGACCGGCTGCAAAGACTGGAAGCAGCAGCTGGGGGAGGTTTGAGAGGTTCATCTGGCTGTAGCCTCTCTGCTTTCACTCCTCCCCCCGTGACAGCATTTCTCACACACAGCCCAGATTCCCCGAAATCACGTGAAGTGGCACTCTCTCCAAACCTGGCACAATGTTTCTCACATAGCCTAATTAAGTGGGTGTGTGGTGAAGCTCTGCTGTGCATGTTAAAAGAGAAACTTCTGAACAAGCTTGTGAAAGAAAGGACTGGACTAAGGGTTGCATTAAGAACCCACACACCCCCAGACACTGTGACTGTGAACCATGATTGTTGTGGGATGCACTGCACCAAAGCATGAGGAACCCTGAGAGAGGTCTAGATGAAACCTTTGGAATATAAAAGGGTTCTCGATAGAACCTCCCAGGTGGATTCTTGTTAGCACTCTTATAAGGTGGAAATGTTCTGGGTTGCACAGATGGTTTTAGGTATTTTTGTTCGAAAAAGGGTTCCAGGTGGAACCTTCTTAGAGGGTTCCGCCAGGAACAAAAATGTTTCCTCTGAGATGTAGTACAATAAAAAGTACAATATCTACATCTGAGATGTAGTGGAGAAGTATTGAGTATCAGGAAATGGAAATACCAAAGTAAAGTACCACAAATTTGTACAGTACTTGATAAATATAAAGTATTTGTATTTGTCTCTAATGTACAGTCTTGTACTCTGGATTTGTACTGTTCTTTACGTATGAGCCACGTTCCCACTGATGGACAGTAAAGTTGTGTTTTAAAGTTGTGCTGTTACGTCTGCTTCTGAAACAGGAACTCATCTCTGGATGAATCGGGTGATATTTCTTTCCCTTGAGGGTGTGCTGCCCCGTTTATGGTTTTGTCAGGGCACGCTGGTTCGTCTCCGGGCCTCTTGGGTAATTTCAGGAAGTCATGTGACTTACTGTAAAGCAGTGAAGCAGTTGATGTATGTTATCTGGTACTCGCTCCAAAGAGGCTTCGGTCTGAGAGCGCTGCAGTGACGCCTGAACTCCGTCTCAAATCTGTGAGAAAGCAAGAGGAGGAGAGAGGAGAGAGATTCAGCCTGTCAGACAATGAATAGGGTTCAAACTCCCACCTTAAATAGGCTTCCTGTTTGTACTTCCATTTTATTCTACTCTGTACTTCTACTCCACTGCATTTTGTAAGAAAATGTACTTTTTACTCCACTTCATTTATCTAACAATTTTCGTCACTTTTGCAGATTATTAACACAAAATATAAATCATTGTGGATTAAACTACCCACCAGTGTGTAAGTCATTTAAATGAGTTCCATCTTTACCAGCTGCAACATTAAAGTGATAAACATCAATAATTATAATCCAGTAATATAATATGTATGATTCTGAAATGGGACAATCAGCATAGTGAGTACTTTTGGTACTTATGTATATTTTGATGCTAATACTTTTGTACTTTTACTGTACGCAAGTACGATTCTGAATGCAGGACTTTTTACTACTTTTACTTGAATAAAATATCTGAGAACTTCTTCCACCGGTGTCAACAGATAACCTTTGTTTAACTGTTACTTTTTTTATTGTTATTTTTTGCTACTTTTCCTGTTTTCTGTTTCCTTTTTTTTGCTGCTGCAGAGATAAAACTGGAATAAGATGAATGTAATATGTCTGTGTCATTGAGATAAAGAACGATGGAGAGAGGGCGGTCACAGAGTTCACTTAAAACAACACCAGTCATCAATCAGCCAGAGGAAATATTCCGACATTTCGACAGTGTGGTCGTTGCACATTACTGAGGGCAGGATCCTGTTTCCAGTTGGTGTTCTTGTGGGAGGGTTCCCCCTCACGCTGCCACCTTCCTCTTTTACTTTGTTTATACATATATCTATGTTTTATTGAGTAACATGTGATATTTTGTGGTTGACTTGATGCCATTTGACCTCCTCACTAATGCATTATTTCTGAAGATAAATATGACGACAGACTTAAGTTCTTGTTGTATGTTGTTAAGAAGGCTAAAACATCATATATTAAATGATTTAATAAGCAAACCTGGCCTCTGAGGACGTTTATAGGTTGTTACCGTCTCATAGATGTCGAGACATTTCATTCAAAACCACAAAGTTCTACCTCACGTTGGTGCTAAATGATAAATCAGAGGATCACCAAACTCAAAGGGTGTTTATAATGGTTGAGATAATTCAGTCTGGCCTATGCCAATATTACTCTTCTTCTAGCTAGCAGAGATAAAACATAAGAATAAATACGTAGCACAGTGTGTGAATATATATGCCTGTCCTTTACGTGTTTGGACACATTCAGTGTCTCCGTGTTGACGAACCTCTTGGGGAACGTGCTCAGCTCCTGGAGGCAGCAGGAGATCACTTGCTGTTCCAGCTGAGCATCGATGGCTCCAGAGTTCTGAACATTTCCTTTCACTGTCTGCAGAGAGAGAAAACACACCAGCACACACACTTTAGTACAAACACACACACACACACACACACACACACACACACTGAGTCACGATGAGCTTCATATGGAGCTCTCTGCTGCCGCCACATGGTCACATCACAGCATTGCATGTTTAGACTTCTGTCATCTAGACTCATTAATATTTACGAACAAACACAAAAATAAACACTCAAGCCTATGAAGCCACATACTTTGTACAGATATTACATTTATTATTGTATAAATATCTAATTTACTTGTTTTGTAATCATTTAAATCAATATAGAAAATAAAAATATATAGTTATATATAATTCTTTGTCTAAAGTATGATTTTAAGCAAAATAGTATCATTTTTTCCAACATATCTGCTGAGTATTTTAGGTACTTATGTGTTTCTTATTAATAAGCTTCAGGCATACTTCATGGTACTTTAAATATAAACATACTGTTTTTAATACACTTAACCACAGCTAGAACATTTAAAGAACATCATGTGACATCTCATCTTTGACATCTACATATTTAATAATAATAGCAGGCGTACCGTCCAGATGTCCATGTGAAACGGACAGTTGAGGAAGTCCTCCTCCTTCTGCGGAGAGCTGCTGTCCCTCCAAACCTCCTCATGTTCAAGTGCAATGAGTCTGTCCAGTGAAGAGCTCATGTCCTTCTGCAGCAACAGACACAGAGAGGAGAACGCTGGTCAAAACCTCTACGACAAGATCGTCTCATCAGGTCTTTCTTCTCTGACGATTCTATTTCAGCTCATCTAAAAACACTCAATTATTATCACAAGAACTGGAATTAATATACAACCGTTTAGCTATTTTCAGCACCTTGGCTGCAGTGTTTAACGAGCCACAACAGGAGGTTACAGACGTTGGTTTAGTCTTGAATCACTAAATTAGAGGCTTTTGTGCTTTTATTTTGAAGGCCAAAGTGGAGGAAAGATCCAATAAGGTGGAGTTATGTTTCTGTTTTGTGAGGAAAAAGATGATTTTAAACAAAACCTTCTTTCTAATTAGAGGAAAATGTAATTTTCTGGTTTGGTTCTTGATTTCTTTGTTTTTAGTAGTTCACATAATTACTTAAGTCAAGTTTTATGGACAGGTGTGTAAACGTCCCCAGGCTACCTCATTGCCCTCTGCCGTTCACCTTTATTCCCCATCACCTGACTGCCCCGCCCACAGACACACCTGTTCCCACTCTCCTCCTCAGCGCTGCAGATATTTAATCACACCTTTCCCACTCACTTCCAACCAATTTGTGAGTTGCAATAAAGCTTTTTTGTCTTGTGTTTTTTGTTTAGAGCTTCTGTAACCTGCACCTGACATTGAATCACTGAACTCATTCTGTCGGCCTTCTTTGTCCGCATTTCGGTCCAATCCTGCATTTCCTGAGTCGTAACAAACTCATTAAACCCAACTTGAATTCAACAAGATGAAGCTCTGGGAACAAGCGGTCGGTGTTTTATGGGATTGTTGGTTCATTTGCACATAAAATGAACATTCTATTTCCCAACATGAAGAACTAAAGGGCCTGTTTACTTGACGTGGAACGAAATCTTAAGAAATGTTGACTCGAACTCTTTGCTAAAATCCTCAAATTCACAGAAAAGTGAGGGACGGTGGTGCTCGTCACCTTCACTCTGCAGCAGAACTTGTCTTTGAGCTGCGTCAGGAGCTCGTCCTCCAGCTGCAGATCGACGCTCTCGTCCTTCATGTCCGGCTGCAGGGAGAGACTTCCCATGATCGACTCGCTGTGCGACGTGAAACAAGATACATTCAACAACATTTACATGCGATCTGAAGAATGCTGGAGACGTGTCGCTTCATGTCGGGAGGAGAGAAGAGATCAGGTTACAAGCTCTAAAGAACTGTTTGGGAAGCAATCTTTAAATAATGCTTTGAAGCAATAATAAATATAGTTTAAAGTACTTATTGAGCGTACTGATGCATTCATTCTTATATATTTAATAAAAAGTTCATTTTCACAGTCCATTGCATTCATGTGTATAAGCAGTAACATTACAGTATGTGTGTGATAAACTGAATAAATAAAGTCTTTTTTAAGGTGCTACTTTACATAATCTGTGAGACACACGACCTGATTAAAAATGTTCCATTTTGGCCTAGAGAGAGTGTTGTGCTTCTTTTTTCATGTTTATTTTTGGTCTCCCAAATGTTGTTTCGAGCATGTTATTTGGGGAGGGGGGGGGATTGGCGTGGCCTGATTCAGCAGTGCTGCCTCTTTATCTGATTCCCGACTCACGCTCACTCTGGTGTGTGTCTGTAAACATCTGCATCTTTACTGGTGAGACGTGTTTTTAGAAGACTTTCTTTTTCCTGCAAGTTTGAGACGATAAACATTTCTGCAGGAGAACAATCTGTGAGATGTGGCCCAGATGTCTGGAGTCTGGAGTCATCCACCTCTTTACCTCCTTCTTGTTTAATATGTTTGAGGTCATTCACTGGATGGAGGCCAACATACATGCACGGGTTTAAAAGCCCCGAGTTCACAAATATAAACTACCAGACTAATTAGTATGCCAGACAAAGATTCAGTGTGTCTGACAACATAGATAGTCAAAGTCAAAAATATCAGGATTTTACAAGATCCGATCACATTTTGCAGCTTGTAAACCAGCATGCTTTTCTGACCCACAATCCTTTGCATATCAGATATACGAGCAAGATGGTCAAAGTTCGAGGTGCCCTGTCATGATGAAGTAGTACGTCCCAGTTGAATGCATCCTGCATGCAGCAGTACGTACTTTGCGAAGGCAGCTGAACTAAAAGTAAAAAGAAAAAGTACGAGATCTGGACGGCAGATAAAGTTTGATTTTCTAGGCTCAGTAATCTCCTAAACCAGCTGGTCACTGTAGTATTTGTCAAACAAACGAGATGAAATAAGTCGTTTGTTGGGGACTATTTTCAGTGGCGGATGAATCCACATTTGGTGCTCGAGTCAAACTGAACTACAGTGTGTGTGCTGATGGTGATGAAGCAATATGTCACCCAGAGATATCAGGCTGTGATACACACACGATACTTGTTAGTAGATACGTTCACTGTATCTGTTGTGGAGAAACAATATTTCAACGTACTGATTGACGTTCACCGACCTCTTGTAGCGGTTGATGATCCAGTCCAGCAGAGCGTAGAGGTCCTTCCGCTCCGTCGCCTGCTCATCCAGCTTCTTCATGTGCTGCCCGAGGACCCGGTGGTAGCTCCTCACGTAGGTGCTGAAGACTTTGAAGCTGGGTGGGTACGAGCACCGCAGCTCCTTCTTCACGCTCTCCAAGTCCTCCACGACGGTCCGACCCAGCAGCCCCAGGTGAACGGCCAACCAGGAGACGTTCTGCTCCCTCTGCTCCAGGTGAACGCTCGACACCTTCGCCTGCACCACCTCGCCCACCGCCTCCCTCCACGCCTCCATCCAGCTGCCCGCAAGCCCGCCGGGCTCCTCCGCCCTCCTCTCCTCCTCTTGGATGATGCGAGCCACGGGAACCAACAGCCCCTTGTTTCTGGAGGGAAGAGAGTTGGAGTCACGCACGATGGTGTTGACCTTGTTCCTCAGCTCTCCGTAGAGGAGGTTGAGGTCTTTCTCCTTCTTGGCCAGCTGCATGGGCGAGTCCTCGCCGCACCGCTCACGCTCCTGCTGGAACTCCTGCCGCAGAGCGAGCAGGTTCAGGTGAGCCTCCTCCAGCACCTCGTTCTCGATCAGCTTATTGATCTGCATCACTGGGAACACAAGGCAAGGCTCAGGCGAGGGAGAACACACACTGTCACTCTTCATTTGTCCTGTTAAACGTATTCTCAATAAATCAATAAACAGCAGGGAAACTCTTAAGTCCAGAGGAAGTTATTTGTGAATTGAACGCCTCTTTCAGGCAGGATTCAGACCCTGACTGTGGTGTCGACAGACAAACCGAACCCCGGTGTATTTACACTGGGAATAAGACTCCTTTTACCGGCTGCTTTTGTTGCCAAAACAGACAAAAGATAAGTTGAATGCGCGGACAGAGAAGGAGACAGGAAGGTGTTTGGGAACTTGAAGAGAAAAGGTCGCATTCATAACTTGCAGCTACGAATGTCTTCAAACTATTTTTTGGACACTTCAAATCTAATGGTTCCTCAAAAGTTAAAACAGGATATTTTTGCAAAGAAGTCCAGTAATTTGTGGACTCTAAAATGCCCATTTGTATATCAATTACCCCCCTGTGTTAATTAATTTGGATTTTAGAGATTTCTTTTGTTTTTCTGTCATGCCACCACGGTGAACGAATGGAGAAAAGTCTTGATGATATGAAGTAAATGCGTTTCACAACTACATCAGAACATCTGTTTACAAACTCTCACATAACTCTTCATATAATCTAAGTCTCATTTATCCTACTTCACAAACACACTCATCTATTTAAAACATATATTAAACAATCTCCTGTGAGTCACAAGATGTTTTTTTAAATGGTAAAAAACTAAATATTTTAAAATATAAATGATATAGAGTGTGAACACAATGTGACTTATAAAAGGGGTTTTGCTCATAGACAGTTATGACCCTTTATAGAGAATTATCAGCAGAATGTGCAGCTCCACTCACGTTACGGAGCTTTGTAGTGAGTTCCAGCTCATTGTTGATCTCTCAGACTCACTTTACTGTTCTGATTCACTCTAACTGCTCTCATAGAGTCATTCACAGAGAAGATGCTGTAATAAAATAACTGCACACTACAGCAAACAGCAGACAGCCTCAGTTAGAGACTAGCTGATGAACATAGTGAATCATTTAACGGCCAAAGAGACCGATGTTTCCTCTCAGGCGTTGGTGGAGACCAAAGACGGAGCTAACAGAGAGACAATATCGGACGTACATTCGTCAGGTGACACAAAAATGAATATGTTGACACACGCTAACGTTACTTTAAGGTTATAAGCACGATGAAGAGGCCGTACCTGACAGTGGGGTGTGGGGTATTTCTAGCAGTGTGTACGACTCCTCCATCTCCTCACACGCCTCCTCTTCCTCCTCCTCTTTGTGCTCCTTCCTCTCGTCCGCCGAGCCTTCGCAGAGGGAGACCAGCGCCTCCGGTCTGCACGTTTTATCCTTCTTGCTGCCGAATTTCAGGCTTCGACGTATGGACGCTCCCGTTTTCATGAGGGTGTCACCGAACCCGGCCATGTTTGGATCTGAGCGGACAGAAAACAGTTTGCGGTGACCAGTTGGCTTTTACTGACCCACACATGATTTCTGGTCTTTTGTTTTGCCTCCATCTTGCTGCAGTCAACTGTGCTTTGTGTCGGGAACCTCATGTCCAAAGTCAATTAATCACATTTAATAGATTGTGGTTTCTTGTTTGCTGTGTGTGCTGCTGCCACCGTGCATTCACCACACACCCTTAAGCTGATGTAACGTAATTTAAAAGGGTCAGGTTAAATCCCGCTAAATGGGAAAACTACGCTGCCTGCTGTTGTAAATTTGTAAATCTGCACTGAGTAGTAGAAGCAAAGGATTATGTGTAATCCTCAAGGATTTGCCACTCGGTAACGTGTCTGTGGACAAAATAATGTTAAGTAACTTGAAAAAGTACATAAAGGTTGAGCTGGCTTTATTTGTTTGTATATTATTTGTCTATTATCTTCGCCATGTTTTCATGAAGTTAACCATTCGTCTGAATGTGTTTTATTGCCGGTAACAACGTCTCCAGTATAGCTGGCTAACACTAATGTGATGCCGGTTCTACGTCATTGTCCTTTGTCATAAATGCAGGTATGTGACAGTGTGTTGCTCTATAGAGTGTGGTAATATTTTAAACATGCAGATGGAGTATTTTCTATTGTCTAATTGTTTACTAAGTTACATAATTGTTATTCTAAAATGAAAAATTCTTTAAAAAAGGGAAACAGTCCAGTGTGAGAAATCTGTATAAATATATTTGTGTCCTCATACATTTGAGAGAGAGACAGTTTCTGTTCTATTTCTATTTTATTTACATGAATTTAAACCCACTATACGATCACTGCATCAGTGTATTTAAAAGGGATTATGGGTAATCCTCAAAGATACGGGGGATTTATCAGCATACGCTGTTTGTCCACAGGAGACGGCCATTCTACTATAATGTCCTTTGTCATAAATGCAGATGTGGAATAAAGCTGCTGTTACCATAAGCCTGACCAGGAGATGTATTAAGTCATGAAACATCTCACCGAGGTCACACTGACTGATTCGCACTGCGTTTGGTCACCATGTCTTTGCATTATTTTTATTGTTTACACTTGACTTGTATGTACGATTTATTTCTTATTTTATTGTTGTTCATTGGTAATGTGTATGTATATTTATATGTTTATATTTACATATGTTTTACTACATATGTACATAACAGTCCAGCTTTGCTGTCATTGTCCGTAGCTGTGCACACATACAGTACGTGGCCAATAAAGCTGATTGTGAACTAACTGGGGCTGTTCTTTGACATGGTTTCCTCCAAATTAAGAGAAATCTTAATTCAGAGATTTAACATCTATTTTTTCCCCTGGAGCAGCAGTTAAAACAAAACCTTTATGTCGCCGGGATGATTGAGATGTTGTGGCAGCGTATAGCTTTACCACATAAAACACACTTCACAGACTTGTTGAAAACAACATAAAAATGTTCACATAAAAGAGACGACGGACGTAAAACTTTACTTCTTTAAAGCTAACATGGATGAGAAGTCCTTAAAGCAACAAGGAGACTTGCTGATATGAAACGTTGATCCAGTATTGAGTGACTGAGTTACCTGTCTTTGAACGCGTCAGACCTTTTCCTTTCTGCGGGGCGCCGTCGCTCTCGTCTTCCTCTTTTCTGCTGAAAAGGCCTCCGATGTTCTTCAGGGGAGACGTGACCGGAGAGCCGACCCTCAGACCTGAAACACAGAGGCACAACGTTTCCTCGTTTCACAATCACATCTCTCTTTGTCTTGTCAGTAAGAACATAAATCAATCTCAGGGCTTGGAAATCGATTTCAGTTCCTGAACGTTTATATTTACATTTCCGTGTGGCTGTGTGACTCGGCAGTGTTTAGTCCTCACACAGTGACCTGAAAGTAAACCAACCGAGGAATGCAAAGATTAAGTCTTGATGAAAACAATCAGGTGAGTTTGGCTCGGCTCCAGAATCTAAAAGTGAAAGTCGCTGCAGACTTCTGAAAGCAGTTTGTCCTCAATTCTGTTGACAGAGACGATAGTGTGAAAGAGAAGCTACCCGACTTACTGTAAATGAAATGAACTCTTGTGTACAACTAAACTGGACTAAAGCAACCCTGCTGAATTCGGAAATTTCTAAATGTTAGGACTTGCAAATAAAAACACTGAGCACGATGTTTTCCTGTAGCTGTTCTTTAAACCTGTTTTAGGGTTGATTTTGTTTTTCCTTTTAAGCAGCGACACTTAAACAGCAGAATGACGGTCTGTCCAAGGTGGACCGGTCTTTGCTGGAGGATCTGGTTCTGTCCACGGTGGACCGGTCTCTGCTGGAGGATCTGGTTCTGTCCACGGTGGACCGGTCTCTGCTGGAGGATCTGGTTCTATCCACAGTGAACCGGTCTCTGCTGGAGTCTGAGCTTAAGGAGTTTCTGGTGAAGCATGAGTTTCACTCCTGGTGAAACTCATGCTTTTATCATTTGGTCTTCAGAAAAAAGTGACAAATTATTTCCTAAAACTTAAGTTGATCATTCCGACAGTTTTACATAAGATTGAGAAAAAAAGCAAATCTTCACAACTGAAACTTGGGAATGTTTGATGTTTTTTGGTGTTTTTATCTCTGTTTACACCGACTGAAGCAGAAGGTGTACAGATTGTCCATAAGAATCACACATCACTGCCATCTATCACAGATCAAAAAACATCCAAATATGATCTCCTGTAGAGGACAGACGTGTTTTTAGGTTTTGTTTTTAGTGTAAGTTAAATGATGCTTGTCTTTTGTTTCTCTCTGAACTTTGTTCCCACACTGTTTCCACCTACACACGCAGAATCGGCCACACCTGAGTGGAACCAGTTCACACGTCTTCTACAAGCAGCGATGCATTTCTAGTCTCCTGACAGCGTATAATTGTGAACTCAAGGTGGAAACACAAGCCCGAAAACTGTAATCGCTTCGTGGTTCTGTGGGGATTATTCTTTCTGTCGGCACACAAGCACCAAATCTCCTTTTCCCCTGACCTTCAGAGGCCACATTACTGCCTGTAAGCAGATCTCATGCCGGCTGACCTCGGTACTCACTGGGTGACGGCGGCGGTCGTGCCCCCGAGTCATCACCGGTCGTGACCCCTGACCCCTTGCCTCCGGACGCCAGCGGGCTCTTCTCCGCCGCCCGCCGGATGCTTTTCCTGAGCGTCTGAAGCACGCCCAGCGACACGGCGCCGTTGGTCGGCGTCTTCTCGTCGCTCTTGAGGGACACCCGGTCCTCGTCGGGGTTTCCAGTGGACTTGTCCATCATTTGTGACTTCTCGTCCCGTTAAATGAACGTCCCGCCTGTGAGGAAACAGAGCATGGAATGAGTTACAGTCCGCCTGCTCTCTGCTCAGCTCAGAGTGTATGAAACGGTGGTTACAGTTTGCTTTTGGTTATTCTGATTTCCATCAGGAGGGACAGGCGGAGCAGCTTTTTTTGTTTACAGATAACATCACCACCTGGCAGCTTCATGCTGTACACAAGGAAGTCATTTCCACTGGAATGAGGATCTCCCAAAATACTATTCCCCCCCCCCCCTTGACTCTTTAATAAAATATCTCTTCAGAGTTTCCTCTGACTGTTGATCTCCTCTAATCCAGATGAGGGAAGAGGAGTTCATAAAAAATGTTAATCTTCATCATTTTAACGTCCACTTCAGTTTCCACCGTGCGCTCAGAACTTAACAAGATGAGATAAAAACATTGTTTTCATGTCTTCATTTAGAGTTTGGTCTATTTTGCTTCTATAACACGTCTTCTTTCAGACGTGTGAAAGAAAACGTCCAAAATACACGTTTATTTATTTATTTTATTACTTTGTCTGTTTGCGTCTGTAGATTTCTCCTAAATCCACTAAAAGTTACTATTAGTTAATGCCTCATTTGCATATTTTAAAATACAGTTTCAGAAAAATTGTAATACAAAAAATGATTTACTTAATGTAAGTGAACAACTGGTGTAGTTTCATGGTGATATCTGTGAGTTCATGTTGTGACCCTGTTCACCTGTAGAGTCTCTAAATGTCTGTAATGGAACTAAACGTCTCTTTAAAGGACGTTTCCTCTAAATGAGTTTGTTCTCAGACTCTGATCCTGAAATCTCCACTTCAGCAGCTCTTACATTCACCAAACTTTACACGTTCATTCCTCTCTGTGTGCTGAAGGTTAACACAGAGGGGTTTTTTAAAACATTATTTTCCACACAGAATCATATAAATTATGTCCTAACTTGTTTCAGCTCTTCATGAAATATGATGCAGAAACTTTCATCTTGAAGCTTTTTTGCTTTTGTTTCAAACTTCTAACTCTTGTCTCGTACTTGGTAGAATTTGTATATCTACGTAAAGATTACAATCCATGTTTGAATAAAGGTTTGTCAACATTCACGCCGGCCACAGAGGTACTTTCAGTTTTATTTTACTTTGGAGGCATAGCATTGACTTTATCTGTTTTAAATTTTAAAGTGAAAGGAAAAGAAAGCGGCTCACCAACAATGCTCATTACTTTCAGTATCTCCACCGCAGTACGTTACATGCAGCTACAATTGATCTAAAAGTAATTCATTCATTTGACAGATAAGAAAGGTGGGAAGAAGCACAGAAGCTTTTTGCACAAGTAGAAGTCTTAAATATCAATAAAGTAAGCCTTTTTAATATAGAGCTTTTCATTTTAAGATAATTTAACTGTCGTTTTAAGGTTTTAACATATAAAATACAGATGTATTCAGTGTTTGTAAGATCATTTGACAGAAGAAGTTTTCCTTTCAGTCACAAGTGTGATTGATGATGTTATACACAACATCATTAAAAGCAATGATATGACACTTTAAACTCTCAATAGACGGTCACAACTCTATTATATGATAACAGAACACGATACAGTTCTGTCAAGTCATGAATGATTAAACCAGTTCAGGATCAACACATTAAAAAGTGCTGATAACAGTGTTTCACACTAAATAACCTGCTCTATACATTCAGAGCGCCACTGTTTTACCAATCGAAACTTATCACTTCAAGTGAAGCAAAAGCCTCAGTTTGATTGCAAAGACAAATATTTGACCAATGCATACAATCTGTACCGTAAGTCAAAGAGTTACAGGCTCACACTGAGAGAGAGAGAGAGTGAAAAGGTTCCTCTTACCTGCGTAGCTCAGGTAGAAAATACTCTGCCACCTCTTCCTCTGTCACCTCCACTCGATACCTGCTTTCACTTTCTGTGCCTTTATTGTAAAGCCGTTTGGGGATAATTAGAAGAAGGAGAGGTTACTTTGCTTGAGGGAGAAATGAAAGTGTTGAAAGCAGTTTGTAAAAAAGCAGAGCAGCCAGTATCTCCAGGCAAGAACCACGGGACAAAGATTACTCTTCCTGCCCTTTGCTGTGTTTAATAATTAGACAGATAATAACTGAAGAAGGAGTGTCGCTAGCAGAAGTCTGAAACGGATCTTTACAAGCTGTTTTAATTTAAAAGGAAACATTGCTGTAAAGGATCAGTTTACAGGTATTTTTCTTACTGGAATGTGGCGTTAAAGCATGCGACCGTGCTGCGTTTAAGAGCGCCCGTAATCTCCTGTTTCATAGATTAATAGGTGTAATGATTTATTACATTTATTTTAAAGCGGTTAAAGAAGTACTCAGATACATTACTTAGTGAAAGTACTAGTTCAATAATGTAAAAGTACACCATTGTAAGTTAAACTTCTTCAAGAAAATGTACTTAAGTGTTTTATTAGCAAATTCATTCTCAAAAGTATTCATTCTGCAAAATATATATTACTGTATATTGTTAGATTGTCAGTGGTGGAAGGTAAGTGAGTACGTTTACATAATTACTTTACAATTTCGAGGTACTTATACTTGTATAAGTGTTTTACTTTTGATATTTTAAGTACATGTTGCTGATATTACATCTGTCATTTTAAGAGGGATTTTAAAGGCAGTACTTCTACTTGTAACGGAGTATACTTACATAGTTGTATTGGTACTTTTACGTATAGCAAATTACTTCTTCCACCACTGATTGTTAATATGATGCATCAATGTGTAGCAGCATTTTACTGCAGTAGCTGCTGGAAGTGGAGCTAGTTTTATAAACAGTTTAGTCCAGTGGTTCCCAACCTGGGGGTCTGGCCCCTCCAAAGGGTCACCAGATAAATCTGAGGGGTCGTGAGATGATTATTGGGAAGAAAAAGCAAAGTTCTGATACACAAGTTTTATTATTTTGGTCTCAAATCTCTCATGTGAATTATCGGAGAGTTGTACCTTTGGGTCCAGCTATTTAAATAAAACCATCTGAGAAGTTTAGAACTGATGCTAACGTTGCTAACAGCTCATAGACATCTGGAACATGACACGGGGCCCCAGTTAGACATTGTTTGTGAGGGAACACCAGCCAGGAATGTTTAGAACAGTTGGTTTAATCTTTAACAACATTGTATTGCATTTTATAAGCTTACATTTTATGTAAAGTTAAAAGTAGCCTCTGAAATATAGAACAGTAAAAGTAGAACGCAACAGAAAATGGAAATACTCAAGTTAAGTACAAGAACATTAAAATGATAGTCCTTGAGAAAATGTTCTTAATTTCTTTCCACCAGTGTAATTTACATTGTGGTAACAAGGTTGAAAAGCAGGTGACAGAAAACACCCACCCACATGTGATGACATGTTTAAATACAATGAAGCTCGGATGCTTGTGGTGATAACAGCTAAATGAACTCTGTCACTGGGACAAACTTCCACTCGAGCAATAAAACTGGATTGGTCATCTACTGCAGTTGTTTCTTAGCGTGTGAACCCTCTCAGATTGTTTCATTTGTAAGGTTTTTAGAGACATAAAGAAAAAGGTCAAATAGAAAAATGGCACTAAAAACAAGATTTTAGTATGTTATTTGAATCACTACTTGCTTGAGTATATGTAGAGCTGCATACAAACAAACCCTTAGTTGTTGATAATGCGTCCCAGCTTTCCAGCTGAACTTTGTCAGGTCAAAGTGTACGAAAGTAATAATGAGATAAAATACATGATGAATGCCATGCTGTGTATGTCCACTGGAGGGGGATGTGTGACACTTTGTAATGCAGGAGATAGAAGTTAAATACAGTTTTAAGTATGTGGATAGAAACATTGAGATTCGCATTCAACATCTGTTTAAATCAGGTCAGACATCTGCTGCAGCTCCATGGAAAAGATCAGCATTGTACAGATGAATGACATCGTGACCAACTGCTCGATCTTATGTGTGTGTGTGTGTCATACAGTGAGAGGATTATAGATATACAGCAATGAAGGGGTTACTGTGCTGCTATCTACAGTATAGCGTCAGCATCAGCTTAACACAACAAATCATGTTTTATCCATTCATCCATCTTGTCCTTATTTTCTTAATCTTTTTCTTCTCTGACCCAAAAGTAAATCTTTATGAAAACTGTGGGTGAAACCTGAGAAAAGGAAAAGGCACAAACTAAATTATGTGCCTGTACTGTGACGAAACACATTAATGCTGGTGTTAATATTGCCATTTCTTTTAAAAATCCACAATTCATGGTTCAAAATAGCTCAAAACACCATCTTCTGTTTAAAATCGGTCCTAATCTTACATGCCAATTCCCGAGATGCAGACGACCGTTTGGGACAAATCTATATCATGAAATAAAAGAACCTTCAGGCCTCTAATCAAACCCCCCTCTTCACCTCTCCACACAGTGTCTGTAGTTTTTACTTTAACAGGTTCCAGAAAAACACTAAAAACCCAGACCTGCTCCAAGCATGAGGATGGACCGTGGGGTATAATCCTGTCTTATTTGTGGTCTGATATCGTCATTTCCCAAGCTACCGTAGCTAGCTGTCATCAGCTCTGTCATATAGGAAGGCAAAGTTCTCCCCTTTCCGCTGTCTTCCATAGGACCTTAACTCGGAAAGTTGTAACAGTTGTACAGTTGTAAATATACAATTTGTCAATTTTAAAAGATAATTTTACATGTCAAGAGAGTCGCAGTTTGTCATAGATTTGTAGTGGTATCGTTTAGTTTTGTGGGAAACCGCTCAGTGAACTACATCTCTCATCTCGCACAATGTACATCACCAACACTACCGTTAACTTGGCTTGCTAGCTAGCTCGGTAACGTAGCAATATCCACGCACAAAATGCAATTTTATCTTACCTGATAAATCCAGCGATTCTTTTTATCAGCCAGGAAGCGAAAGAACGAGCAAGACCCTTTGTTCATGTCGTTACATCCTGGTATGAAACACACAAGTATCGTAGCTTCAACGAGAGATGTCACGTACGCAATTTCTGGATGTGTGTTCTTTCCAACTACATATTTTCAGTCTTACACTTCAACAGTTTGACGACAAAAAATAAAAATGATCCGTTTAGGTGACAAATGACATTTAAACTCAGACCTGGGCGGGAAGTTAACTCCTTAGCATGCTGATATTAGCTTAGCAAAAAACACAACCAACAGTTGAGGCTGAAGGGAATGCCATTGGCTTTGCAGGTTTGGTCATAAATCTGAGTATCGGATAAATTAGAATTTTTTACCTCATAGTGGCACTCGACGAAAAGTCAGCGTATCACCAAAGTTACTACATTTCATCTTGATGGGAACATAAATATCTGCAGCAAATTCCACGCCAATTCATTAAGCAGCTGTCAAGACATTTCAAAACCATAAATGTTGCGCTAGAGAAAAAGTCAGGGGATGATCACAATCATTAGCTCTGGAGAACATTGATGTCTGTACAAAAAATAAATAGAATCGTGCCAATCCATCCAGTATCTTTTGATATAGTATTTAAATCATCTAATCACGTTTCTTTGGTTGGTTGGTCAATGGGTTTGCAAACAGTCCAGGGATTTCCACCGTGCTGCTTAACTCAGCAGCAGCTTCGCCACACAATGGATGCTTTTGACCACAGGCTTCAGATTAGTGTTGCATAATGAAAGGAAAGCTGTGGCGTGTGAATGGTGTGTGTGTGAGCCCAGATGTCCATGAGCTTAGATGTTGAATGTTCAATTATACTGCAGTGCTACAAAACCCTTTGTGTCGAGCTGAGGAAATGTATTTGAGATTATTTGATATGATATACATTGTATTGTTTGGAAAATAAGGAGCAAATTACCAACATGTTATCCCCAAGCTCGGTCAGATATCTACTCCTGTTTCTTTTCTTTTAGACGACAGGGTTTAAATGTGTAGTCATTCGATTAATTTGCCTTTTTCTCCAAACAATACAACGTATATAATATCAAATAATCTCAATTACATTTCCATTTCCTCTTTTTCCTCATTTAGAAATGGCAGATTATTGTTGCTAAATATGACACAAGGGTTTAAATGTCTTGTGTGGTGCTAAATTAAATATATTATTAAGACACAGTGAAATGAAAAATTTATTTTCAAGGTATCCTGTGTTCATTCATCTTTTGTTCCATGCTAAATATGTTAAAAAATATAGATTGTGTTAGCTATCACAACTAGCAGCTTCAATTAGGTGTAACTAGCTAGCTATTTAAGCTAACGTAAATTCTATGCCTTTTTTACCATTTCATGTTGACTTGTGTTAAAACACAATGCACCAGCTAATACTAGAAATAACGGATGATTGTTGCCAAACGTGACGTGTTTAAATGTGTTTCGTTGTGCTAAACGATATTTTAAAGACACAGTAAAATGATAAATATACTTTATCTATAAATTATCTTTTGTTACATGCTAAATAAATCTATAAAAATCTGTAATTTGTTGACTCTTGACAACTGTGGCTAGCAGATTTGATCAGGTGTAGCTAGCTAGCTATTCAAGCTAACGTTCTTTGTGTGATTACTTATTTATTAAACTTGTTTTGATCTGTGTTTCCTACTAATGTCTCTTGTTTGTTTGTTGGCAGTATCCACTCTGCTGCTGTAATCCTGCAAATGTCCCCGCTGTGGGACTAAGAAAGGATTTTCTTATTTTATCTCTTATGAAACTGCACAAAAAGCTTCAATAAACAGTTAAGAGCTTGAGCAGTGCAGCGACTTGCTCTGAAAGCGTCAAATTAAGATAATTTTCTTCGTGACATCAACATGCCAAAGAGCTGCTGTTGCCAATTTTATATAATACCAGTTGTGGAATAGCGAAGGACAAGATGGCTGCCGTTGGCCATCAAGAGGGCTCACGTAACTTAAACTCCAACGGGAGCGTCAAACCAAAACAGACCCTGGCCTTCAAAGATCAAATCACACTAATGTTTGATCTACGCTGTTCATAAGAGGTGCTAATAACAAACAAATCTCAGATTAGTAAATCTTATAACAATATTGGGGATTTATGGCCACACAGTTTCTTTGTTGGAGTAAGGAGGAATCATGATGCTGGTATTTCTCATTTACATGCACAGACATTAATAGCTCCATACAGTTACAACTCCAAAACGGAAATAATGCAAAAGTCTTGTTATTTTGACAAAATATTACATTCGACTGAGTGAAAATTACATATGGAA